CCTCCTCTGTTCCGCTAGTCTTACTCCTCCCTGCCCTCCTACCTTCCCACCCTCTCCATGGTGGTTTCGATGTTGCCCTGCTTGCACACTCGATTGCTTGGCTCGTGTTCCTGCAATCGGCCCTCCCCTCTCTGCACCCCATCCTCATCAAAGTTCCCTCCAACCCATACCGTAGTAACTTTCCCGTTATACATCCTCTTCTTTCCAGATTTTGAATCCATCCGCAAAGGGAATGTGAATGCAAGCACTTCAACCAGTTCTTTTCAGAATTCCTGGCCCACTATCCTTTTGATGGGGAATGCAGATTCTTCAATACAGGCACCATGGCTGGTGGACATTTTGCATCTGTGCTGAGAAAGATCTTACCCGAGAATCAACCAAAGGCATTCCAAGTGGGCTACAAAATGGATTGCCGGATTGCCATCTTTCAGAGATGTTTCTAGAGTGGGCAATAAAATGTAGCTACAACCGGTAGAAAGTCTGTTTTGTGGTGTGATACAGTATTTATAAAATTTTCCTGAACGGAGGTGTTCATTTTCTCTTGCTTTTGGACAGTACAATGAGTGTACTCCAATGTCATGTACTAGATCTAGTATAGTCTAGTCTACATGTACTAGTATGACATACATGTTCACCGCGATGCTTTGGTTAGAATTGCTTTGCGAGATTTAAGGGAGTGTCTCTTAGTTCTTAACAAGTCAACTTCAGCTAAGTTCAGCTGTCTCATGGCTGTTGGCAATTCAACTTGGCATACTTAGTACCATGCAGTAGTCTAAGGCACAGTGGAACAAGGCCCTTTTTGTTCATTAAGTCTTGATCTGTGTCCTTGAAATATGAGTACCGGTTTCTAGAAGGTCGTGAATTCTTACGCGAGTCACCGTTCCTGACCACAACCAATTCTCAAATTCCCATTATTTTCGTTCCTTTGTTCGCTGAACCAGCAGCGCCACCCCATCCCCTTCACAATTGAAAGTCTGCAGTCTGCAGTCATCAGGAACAAAACCACAGGTAGTTGTCCTCGCGTTGTTCCTGCGTCTTTAAGCATCACATAGTCAGTCATAGACTAATTTCTATAATCGGTGCAGCCTCGAAAGGTTCCAAAACAGGTCGCTTTTTCCCTCTGCTTTTTCGTTAGCCATCCCTATCGGCTCCTCCTTTCCGTCGCCATGAATCAGGTTGTCCCACAAGCTGTGGTTCCCTTACCCGTGCCGGTATTGAACAACGGAGATCCTGAAGCTGTCTTTCGAGATCCCGCAGACCTTTCCACCAAGCTGAGCCGTGATGATCCGTATCGAATGAAGCTCACACCCGAAGAGCACGACAATGCTCTTGCCATCAAGGAACAGATTGAGGGGATGCCCGATCTTGACAATTTATCGGACTTTATGTATGCCCAGCTTGCCATTATCTGCAAGGACGACGTGGAAGATGCTGTGAATAGATGCTATATGATGCAGGATTTCCGGCATGAGTACAAGGTTGAGAACCGATACAAACAAGGATCTCAGATGATGGAATGGGTTTTCAAACTGTTCCCAGAGCATTTATTGTTCTTTGGGTTCAGTGAGCAAGATGGGACCTACATCTTTGTGCATGACTTCAGCAAGTTTGAACCAAAGAAGTTTACTAGACCCAAAATGGAAGAGGATTGGTTGACTTTCATGTACTACTCCCATATTCTCTTCTTTCCAGATTTTGAATCCATTCGCAAAGGGATCATTTGTGCTTGTGAATGTGAGCAGATGGATTTGAGAAAAGATGTCAACAAACTTTTTGGCAGATTCTTTTCAGAGTTTCTGACCCACTACCCGTTTGACGGGGAATGCAGGTTCTTTAACACTGGAGCCATGGTCAACATCTTTGCTTCCATTCTAAGGAAAATCCTGCCTCAGAATCTGCGAAATAAGTTTACAGTCGGGTACAAAATGGAATGCCATCTTTCAGAAACATTTCTTGTTCCCAATGTGGAAGCAGCCAATGCAAGGATGCTTGGCAGAATGAAGGAGAGCTTAGGGCTACGGTACAAGCATGAGGCAGCCTTTACGTTATGCTAAAAATGTGTCGCTTCTCGAGGTAACACTTGCCCGTGGTGGGTTTCTTTGAGATTCTGCCACTGCGTGACACTGTCGATCGGAGGGCGCCTTGCTACAGATGCTGTTTGCTTGAATGGATTGAGCGCATGATGAGCATTACCTGATTCCGGTGGAGAAATTGGGATGTGGTTGTGCGGCTAAATCGTTGTACAAGAATGTGCAGTTTGCTCGTGAGGTTGTTGCGTACAGTACCTTTGCCACTTTTTAGAGTTCTAGTCAGGACCGGATCCTGAGGACAACTCCCGGGCGCAATGACTGGATCTGGTTCGGAATATGTCTGGTGTCTATTAATACATGAAGTAATTTCATCCGTTTAATTAAATATTGTTGGTAGATCAGCAGTGCAAATCAGTTGTTCCTGCATCGTAGTGTCGGATCTAGCGTCAGGCACCTTCTATACCCTTCGAGCTGGGAACAGTCCGAAAGTTGCTTGAAGGCGCACATCACGATTTGCTTCGAACTTCTTTCTGACGCGGCGACAATGGCGCTCATCACGTCAACCATTTCGAAGACCGCCTTGTAACAGACCCAACCTCTGATTGTTGCCCGGATTCTTTTTTGACGGTGCGCTGGTTTCTATAGTATGTCCACGACACATGGATGAACTAAAACTTTCAAAATTTAATGTGCCTATACATATTCTGTTTACTGGGTTTTCAGGACTTTTCCTTGCCAGTGGAAATATAACGTGGCTAGCTATTGCCAGTTGATGCAGATCATCGTAGCAGCGGATCTTATATTCTCATCATGAGATGATTGCCAACGGAGGAGGTGAAACGAACAGCAGGGCAGAACTCATGGTGGTACCGGTAGAGATTAACGACCCGGCCAACGGGGTTCAAAATCGTCGTTGCTGTTTGTACAAGTTCGCAACATCTCGTCGATCCGCTAGCTAGCGAGAGACAGAACACCCCGCCAAAGCGCTTGTATGTACATTGCGGCTGTCTGATTGTGTTTTCTGCCCTGGGGGGGAGCACTCGATGTTGCCCTGCTTCAAGGAAGTCGAAGCGTAATCAGAATGGAAGATGTGGAATCAAAATGATGCTTGTCGTTTGCCCCTCGTAATGGTCTTTTGGTCGGGGATGAAATGGAATCACAGTCGTCATGATGGAGATGGAAGTTCACGGAAACGATTCGAAGGATAGTTGGCTGACATCTAGATGGGAACTTGGAGGTGATTTGTGTGTAAGACCACTAATGTCGAGGTACGAGCTTTGCGAGTGCTGTGGTAAAGACAGGTCACTGATATCTAGCTCGTTCTCCCGGATTGCGGGATTGGGTGGATTGATGAAAGGTGTATTGTTGTCTTTGCTCGTTGTTGGCTGCTGCTGCTTCTCACAACCGTCTTGGTTCTTAGGATTCTCCACCGGCGATGCTTTGTTGAGTTGGGCATCCACTGGAGCGTTCTGCTTGGGTGTTCGTTCTTTTTTGTCGAGCTGTTGGGTATGACCCACGGGGCCGTTCTCCCCAGGCGATTGTTTGTTGAGTTGGGATGGAGTGTCCGTTCGTTGTCGTCGTCCAGATTCAATGTCGTGTTGGTCGTGGTACCGTTCCTTATCGTCATCGTGCTGGCCTTGTGGCGCCGCTGTGGCTAAGTGTTCATCGTCTACTACAGGGCCATTCGTGGACCATCCCAGTGGCACTTGATAGGAATCATCGTCATCATCATCATTGTCATCGTTTACCCTGCTGGTGATGGAACGGAACATTTGACTGTTTGTGGGAACTGGGTAAACGTTCCTTTGCGACTCTTGCTGCTGCTGTTGTTGTTGTGGATCGTCGTGTCCTGCACTACTACTAAAGTCGTTTCCCAACATCATTTCGGCATCCCATTCAATCTTGATGGCACTAATGCGTTTGATTTCCGATTCGATACCATCGTCTTCGTCGTCGATATTAAAGGCCGTGCTGGTGCTATTCCGAAGGCTTCCCAAAATGTTCCATGACACAAAGGTCCAGGCACCAAATCCTACCGTCACGACGGAAGTATCGTCATCATCAGTGTCCTGTTGTTGTTGTTGTTGTTGACTATTGGCCCCATCTTTGTTGTCATTACTTGCATTCTTCTGCGTTCTCCAATGTTGACACGTCCAGAATCCGTAGACGGCTTGACCGATATCGGGTTTCCACCAACTCACCACGGCCGACACGACGCCTTGCATGTGACTCCACGCTCCTCCGGCAAACTGGAACCACGGATCCATAAAGGGCGATGTGACAAACATGAGAATCAATGCCGGCAACCACATGACGACAAAGACGGCAAAAAGTCGGAAAAAGTAAATGGCCAAGATGCGTCGTCGTCCTGCCGCTGGCAATAAGTTTTGATACCAAATCTGAAAGGCGACCCAACACACGTAGAGCAGTGGTATCCCAAATAGCAAGGGGAAAAAGAGGACGTAAAAGACGACGGTACTGGTAGTATCGTAATCCATGGGGATGCAAAAGGCTCCCATGGCAAGTCGGGTCTTGTGCGGCCACCAGGGAGCATCAAAGAGTGCCATTGCGGCCAAGAGCCCGGCGTAGATATAGACGGCGCATGCTTGCGTGAGAATGAGTCGCCCCGACGGTGGTTGATAGCGTCGAAAGCGTTGTCCCAATGTGAGCATCCGAAATAGTTGTTGGGCAACGACCAGATTCATCCAGGAATTGGCGGCAATGGCAAAAACACCGTAAAAGGATTGCCATTGGCACATTGTCGCCGATGTAAACTGCCCCGCCAGGACATTGGAGAGACACGTGCTTTCGCAGAGCCACGCCCAAATCATGTCGGGAATCAATAGAAAAATGAGATAAAAGTTGAAGGTATTGTGGCGAATGGAACGACTAAAGATCAGCGGCAGCAGTGTGCCGGTCGTCACCACAATGGTCAAGATCAAAATGGTGGCCCAGCCTTTCCAGAATTGCATAATCTCGGCATCGGAGGGAGCAGCAACCATGCGATCGTAGTGCGTCGAATTCTCGTCCAATTCCCACAGACGAATGGACGGAATGTTCAGAGGATGCATCTCCAAGTTGTTGTTGTCGTCGCCCATCAAGGCTCCCGTCAAGTTGCTCATGGTTATTGGTTTGTTTGATTGCTGCGGCTACCGGGAGCTACCCGTACTATGCGACAACTCACTCACTAGCTCTTAATGGGTGGATGGAAGGAAGGAAGGAACAACGCTCTTGGTGGGGTAGCGAGGCTACTACTATCCCAAAAAGTAAAGAAGCGTACATGTACAAACGCTATAGGCTACCAAGTCTGAGTGGATGGTGCCTGCTGCCTGGTGCACTTTGACTACTGGCTCGAAATGTTGGAAACGTGGCGCTCCTTACCTAGCTAGCTAGTAGCGATGAAGGATCAAAACCTGCAGCGCCTAGCATCGGATGCTCTTGGATTTGGGTTGACGTGCTAACGATAACGTGCTACCCTTCTCAGCCCCATGTTTCGGCACGCACTGGAAAGCGTAAATAACAGTATCTAAGCCCTGATATTAAGATACTATTCAGAACGAAAGGGAAATGCAACCTGATTCATCCTCCTTCCATAGAGGACACAACACAAAGTGCTACTATCCAGCAGCTAGCTAGCTAGTCTAGCTAGCTAGTAAGAAATACTACAAGTACAGTACCTGTGAATCTCAAAGCTCTGCTGAAATTTTGCATTTCAGGCAAATGAATTGTTTGTTATTAATAGTTGATCTTTATTATCCCTCCTCATTTGCCCAGTACGGTAGAACAGAGAACTCCACTGAAAGAAAATTATTGCTTGTGAGGATTGTTTGTTTGTGAGGATGTCCTTGTCGAGCTACAAGTAAAAGTGAGAACTCTTCTATAGTCTACTGAGATATCATAATATTTGCGTAAGAGAGAAACAAGTCTGAAAGAAAGCACGGTTCTGAATGAACATTATTATTTGACTTCTACGCTAGGGACAACAAGAAGTCTGCAAGCAAAAGTACAGTCGTATGTCCTCGTTGATTTGCTGGAGCTACAAGTATAGCAAGAAAACATCCTACACGGAGATCTGGAGTAGCTATTAATAACTAGCTAGTAGAGCAGGTGACTTGCAAGGAATGGAAATGGTAAGTCAAGGGTATCACGACAGCTATCACAACCATCCAAGGAAAGTTTTCTAGCTACCGGTAGCTAGGTACCAGTCCCTGGTACCTGGTAACTGGTATGATACCCGAATTTGAACATTCTTCTGAGCAAGTGCTGAGCTGATTTTTTAGTCCCCAAGGCCTTCTACTTAGTGGTCGATAAACTTCAACTGTCCTTCCTCACTTATTTAATTCTCACTTTGCACCCAACTTTGTTTCTGTGTCGTGGAAAGAAGCGACACAATAAATAATGGCTCTTTCAGTTGACCATCGACACCTTCGATCGTATTCCACAACCGGAAGCCTTCGTCGTAAGGAGAAAGCATTAAGAAAGAGCTGCCTTCCCCAAGATTTCTGTGAGTTGACAAAGCGTCCATGTGGCCATGGATACCAAAAAGTAATTGACAAGCACTGTTAATCCATACTCGTACCGGTACCTCCAATCATATTCGTCCAAACTCTTCTACTCAGAAAACATGCTACTCTGTTGCAATGTTTCATCGTCACCCTGACGTTTTACTGGTTTCCAAAGCTAGATTTAACTTGAGGGACCTCATCTGATAACACCAGATACCACCACTAGTTAGTCTACTGGCCACCAGTTGCCAAACTAACTGTTGGTTGCCGACTGCCACACGGACTTACACCAATCCGCATGATTACAGATTCTAGTCTACTTTTGGTAATTGGATCTTTCTGTTTCCAAGCCAGCAAAGTCTTGCTGGTGTGCTGCTGTGTGTCTCGCACAGCTCAAAGAAACGCTCATCAAAGATGAAATCATGCATTTTGCATAGGGAGCTCTTCTACCGGTACGATGGGCTTGTTCCTTACCTCTATCTCCTGCCACCTTTTGCATGTTACTAGAACTCTTCTCACAAAATTCAGGGTTTGCTGCCCAATGTGGCTGCTTTTGAGTGATTCTACCTGGAGGCAGTTTTGTGCTTGCCATCCAACCGAACCAGGTACAGTACCATGGGTACCGGTACGTCCAGAGAAGAGGTGCGAAGAAATCGATGGTGGCATTGTATGGGTTAAGTTTCGTTATCTCCTAGATCCCCAAAAAGATACTTATTTTGTGTCTGACAGTCTGCCAGGAATGCCATTTGGCCAACACAGGATTTCAGGATTGAGTTATTTTAAAATACCAGTACGGGCCAAGAAAGCGTGAACTTGTCACGCGTGAAGCAGCACATGGACATGTGTTCTCTTCATGCAAACTTATTGTCAACTTGTCAATGGAGGTCACGTTCGCTTACCAGCTCCTGAAGTCTACTAGCTAGTACCCGCAGGAACCCTCTAACTAAGTCGGAAAAGAGTGCAGATTTTTCCCGGAAACTCCCGCACACCGGGGGAGGTGCATCCCAGTCAAGGCAGAGCACAATTTGGCCTCAAACCCACGAATAATTCTTCCCTATCCTTGTTTGGTCCGATCTTTCACATGTAAAAAGATACCACCATGGTAAGGCGAAACCGTCAGTCTCCATTCGGGTAAAGCGCAGAAAACGATTCGATTCGGTTCAACTCAACAAAGAAACAAACATGTTTTGGGAAGCGTAGCATCTCTTGGCCCAAAATCTATTTGAATGCGTGATTGTTTCGCAAAACCGTAATCTTCGCTCCCGTCATTATTCGTTTTGCAATAATTTCAAATAGGAGACAGTAATAGTTACGCACCATGGGCATTTTGTCATCATGGACATCCTTTATGGATGATCCTCATCATATCATATTGCGACCCTACTGGGTCTGTGGTTGCACATACGTGTTACTGCTCTCGGTCTTCTTGCTCTTTGTGCTCATTGGTTGGCCTGGCGGTCCCATTGGCTGCATCTACGAAGAACCGCACGATGGATGCTACTGCGAAGCTTTCGATCTTGAAGATGTGGAAGAAGGCAAGCCTGGAGTACGTCAACCGGTCAATACATGGTTCAATCTCTTTGTCATTATCCCTTCCAGCTTTGTGGCGTGGAGAATGAGTCAAGACCGGAAACAGCTCTTTGGCAAAGACTTCCCCGAATCCACAACAGAGCAAGACGAGGATGGCGAAGAACCGAGAAACGAAGGGACTACGAGTGTTGGTGGAGATGAAGCTACCGAAATTGATTTGACCGTTACGTCCACAGCAACGAGTTTCAGGGAGGAAGGGACTACAGTGACATGTGCGACGGTCGCAAAACTCAACAATGTCATGTTGTCAGACAATCTCATTGCAGATTGGTATGTCTTGACGACAGTATTTAATGGCCTTGGCAAGATGTTCTTCCATGGGAGCCTAACGCGATGGGGCACCTACGTGGACGGCGTCAGCTCGAATTTCTTTTTTGCCTTCATCCCTTGGTATACGATCCGGAGAGTCCATCATTCCGATCAAGTGTTTTGGCTTGGATACTTTGGAACCATTGTCGTCATTAGCTGTGCTCAAATTATTTTTGGGTCCCTGCTGGCGGTGTATGTACTGATGCTCACCTACTGTTTTATGGAACTCTACATTCTCGCCGCCAAAGGTGTCTTCTTGGGGGGGACGTGCAGGTCGGTGACTACTTGGATGCTGGCCATCGCTGTCATGCTAGTGGCTACCTTCTTTTGGTGGGGCTCCCGTACTGGACGGGTCATGTGTGACCCGGAAAGTTTTTGGCAAATCCATGGGTTGGTATGGCACCCTTTGTCCGACGTTACCATGGTTCTGTTGTACCTGTACTGGAGAGATGGTGACGATGAAATATTGGAAGAAAGATATGACGATTATGATTAATCATGCCAGCAACAACCGACTAGTTGCTAGCGACTAGCCATCCTGAAAAGGCCTAGCCGTTGGCAAGAATTTTGCCGAAGACAAATCTACAAAGCTATGTAGCCGGTTCATAGTAATGGTATGCAGTACTTATGTATCAGTTAGACAGAAACAACGACACCAAGTTGCCACCTGCACGTTGGTGTACCTGGCAAAATCAGGGTTCAGTAGCAACACACATGGATTGCAAGAAGCCGTTGACAAATCGTTTGTATTTGTTTGCCATATTATGGGCCTGGGCAAACTACTGCCTCACAGGAATGATTGTGGTAGTAACATTTCCAGAGAGCTACTGTTCCATGCAGATCCCAGTCCCCCCATCACAGCATGTAGTGCAACATCCTTCGGGACAAGACACAAATGGTTCTCCTATGCTGGTTGCACCATCACTTCCCGTGATTGTGGTAGGCGCACAGTCCGCTACAAACTCAAGTCCTCGAGCATTCAAAACGTTTTCAAAGCACATGTCATCAGGAATGCTCCCTCTGAGTTCAGGATTTCCATTGATTGTGAAGTCTTCCACCCCTATCAGGGCTTCAAACTCCATGGGGATGCTACCTGTAAAGTTGTTGTTGGCCAACTTCAAATGATGGAGGTTCGTGAGCAATCCAAAGTTGGTGCTCAATGTACCCGCCAAGTTACAATTTTCGACAAGGAGGAACTTCAAATAGAGGCAATCCAAGAATAGCTCTTCAGGAATGGTGCCTTCAATGCTCGTAAATCCGATATTGAATTCATGTAGCCTGTTCACCAGCCCCAACTCTGATGGAATTGTACCTGACAATTCATTATTGCCCGCAAAATACAATGCAGGACCGATTTCAATATCATTGTCCGCCTCCGTGTCAAGATCGTCTTCTTCGACTTGCCAGGCTAAAAGCCCAACTTCTGTGGGAATGGTTCCAGAGAGCTAGCCACCCAAATGCATATGAGGACGTGGTCAAGTCATTGGAGGTTGAAAACAACAGAACAGGACCACCTACCTTATTATCTCCAAGCCGAATATCCCTCGCATTTTTGGCGGAAAATAATTCCGAAGGAATCGTTCCTGTAAAATAATTTTTGGAAATGAAGAGCAACTTTCCTTTGAAATGAAAAGGGCAACAGGTTCCGATGATAAGCAAGGAATCCGGGTCAAGAGGCATTGTCAAGATAACGCAACGTGCACATACCTTGAAATAGCCCAACTTCAGTCGGGATGGTGCCTGTCATTTGGTTGTCCTGAAAATGGAGTATACTCAATGATGGCATGGAGAAGACAGCAGAATTGATGGTTCCTGTAAAATTGCTATTTGAAAGCCCCAAACTGGTAAGAGCTGTCATTTTGTAAATAGATGGAGGGATTGTGCCAGTAAAGTTTTGTGCTCGTAAAGTCAAGTAGGTTGCATGTGACAATAACCCCAGCTCACTTGGAAGTGATCCAGTGAAACTATTGTCCCCTGTACAAACCAACCCATTGGCAGCAAAATGATACAGCCGAAATTTGGTGAGAGCATTGGTACCATAGCCAGAAGCACAGTTTGTGAATGATTGACACTCACAGATATGAATTCCAGTAATATTTTCTGTATCTCCAGAACAATCGCATCCAGCCCACCGGCATTCAGGAACTCCCGACAACCATCGCTCAGTGAGTGACTCACGTCCCAGAAATTGAAAGTAGAATTCGTCTGTTTGTGCACCAGTGGCAGCGCCACAGAATTTCCAAGGGCTGGCTTGTGATGTACTGTAGTAAAACTGTGTCAAAATAAATCGTTGGAGTAGATGGTTGGAATCCGGAGGCAGTTGGCGGGGATCTTGATGGATGATCCAGTTGAGTGCTTTTTGATGCGGTTCCGTGCTGTCTGTGGAACCATCAAAGTAAGTGGTTCCTAAAACCTTTTCCAGCTGGGCTTTGATTTCCATGCCTTCCATATCTCTGGGGCTGAGTTCCTGTTCCTCTGAAGAGGAGCCCTTACTGCTGCAGTTGCCACTGCCACAGACTCCTGCCACAATGATTCCAATCACGACAAGCAAGGCCACGATGATATAAATGAGCGGCAACTTGCTGCCAGAACCTTCCGTTGTCTTGGACTGTTCCACAGGGACCGCATGCTGCTTTGCCTGATTCTCATCAACGGGACTGGCACTGGGCATGTTGGTGTCATCTTCCCTGCCATCCTCAATTTCCAACGGCTGCAGGGGATCGGGGATGGGGTCAGCATCGCCACCCATATGCTGAATCCCCGGGGTTGTTGCGGGAGGCTGGAGAGGAGCATCCTTCTCCATTACCCCATCGGGACGAAACTGGTCTTCCATGGTTGCTTGCACTGATTGTCTTCCTTGTTCAGATTGGGATGCTACCAGATACGTACACTATGAGAAGGAAACAACACAAGTAAAGGAAGCGAGGTGAGAGGTGTGGGGCAGTTGATGAACTGATTTGCGTCAGAAGCGGTGGCTTGGATTTCTAAATGAAGGACGGTCATTTCAGAGAATCTATATGAACATACGCAAACCTTGTTCATTAGATTTTGAGCTTACCTTTCAACTGAGCGGCAGATCCCAAGCATGGAGGAGTTACTTTTTAATTATTAATAAATACATGTACATGTAGATAGACTTGTACTGCGGTACCGGTACCGGTACCGGTACCGGTACCGGTAGCAGCAGATCAACGTATGCGGAGCATCCTGCCAGACATGTTGATACCTTGGTTTTATATGATCTACCTTGGGAGCACCTCTTCCGCAAAGCCCAAAAATCTTTAGTTGCACTGTAGACTACCGTACCAGAGTGCCTTGAAGTACTACAATTGTTGTAGCTACCAGTAGGGTACACTACCGGTACCGGTAGTCCACTGGTATTTCTCACTTGCTTGGTGGCATGAGCTGTGGTATGTCAACCCTGTCACTGTTCTTTAGAAAAAAAGGTGAACCACGTCTCAGGGTCCAGGTGTTCTTTCCAGCTTTTCCCTAGAATCCCATGTTCCAGTAGCTATGAGTAGCAGCCAGCTATAATAGCTAGATCTATAGAGATTTGACTTCTTGGGATAGTACCGGTACCGTAGGGAACGGTACCGCACCTGGTACCTGGTAGCGCTGATGAATGGTACAGGTACGGTAATCTTCAGAACAGGGGTGAACCACACTAGTTTGTCAGACGGATGACTTGGAACAAACCAGCAAAGCCTTTCGAACACCAGCTCCTATTCACAGTTCCATCTTCTTCTCTTTCTCTGCATTCCGCAAAGGTTCCAAGAAGTGAAAAGAAAGCTCAGCCTCTTGTACCGGTACCGTACAGCAAGACTAGTCTACCAGCCAGCAACGGTAACCTCTCCTCAAACCCAAAGACCGAGTACTAGTATTCTGGAAGGGTCAAACAACACATATACAATAGCCAACAATGGGCAAAATCCAAGACACGGACGACAAGAAGAAGAAGAGGCCACGTCGAGGCACCAATACCAGTGATGGCAGCACAACAGGGGATGTGTTGGAGTTGATTCGAGAACATCAACGGGGGAGCACCGATGAGGAAATCAAGGCGGCCGCCAAGACAGGCCAGACGCCCATGGCACCAGGAGAAACAACCACTCGAAGACGACCTCCTCGCAAGACACGCTCGACACCCGTGACGGCCCGCGAAGCCGAACTCATGAGGACATCCACAACGGCAAGACGACGACGAAGACCGACCACCAGTGGTAGACCCTCCGTGAGAACTTCAACCAGTACAGCTACTAGAAGTAGTACTACGAGTATTGCACCCCGCAATGGCGAACGACAACAACGGCGCATTCGACCTTTGAATCGAACACGGACCGATCCCCCACAACGACCGCCCAAAAGGACTCTATCGAGGAATAGTCGTCGCACTCGTAGAGATTCCGACGATAGCGGGGATCTGGATGCCGAAGTGTTGTACGCCATTGCACAAGCGCAAAACAGCAGCAGCAAAGATGCACCATCAAGCAGCAGAAATGATCGGGACGAAAAACTGCAGGCCAAGACGAGGCAATTCGATGCAGCCAAGGGGGAAACCAACAAGAAATCAGCTGCTCCCAAAAAAACAACGGGCCCTCTGTATCCCACAATAATTCCAGAAAATGACAAGGGCAATCTAGTTGCAGCAGAGGATCTGGTGCCTCTGTACCCCTCACAACGAGATGCGGCGCTGAAGAAGGAACCGCGAGCTGTAAGGCCCACAACAAATAACGCTGTTGTGGGTGCTGCCAGAACCAAGACAGACCTCAACAACAACAAACCCATTGGAAAGCGGAGGCTTTATCCATCGGTGCCAGACAACGAATCGGACAATCTGTCAGCAGCGGACAAGATTGTTCCTCTGCCAGCATCCAAGGAAAAGGTTGCCTACAAGAAACAAACCCAAAAGGCAACAAATCCAGGTGCTGTAGGTGTTGGTGTTGCGACGTCCAAGTCTGTAGACAGACAGACCGGTCCTGCTACCACCGTCGCGGACAGTGAGTCAAACAATCTGCGAGGTTCTGCTGATTCCGAGCAGAGTGGGGATGAAGTGGACCGTTTTGAAGACGACGACTTATTGGATGAGGATGAGGATGAGTTTGACGATGAAGATGAAGCTGAGTATGACGAGGAGGAAGACGAATCGGGGCGACCTGGTGCCTATTCCGAAGCACCTGGTGGACACACCACACGAAACGTTGCCATTCGACCTTCCATCATTAATCGTGGCAGAAGCAACACACTTCACACCGAACACAGTAATTCCACACTAGATTTTATGGAGGAAGACGAAGCGTCGTGGGACGACGAAGATTCCTCCATGATGGAGGACGACGACGAAGACAATCCACCGGGTGGAGACTACCTCGTCCAGGCCACTCTGGTGGAAGATGACAGTCTTCGAAGAGAACCTTCCCGAGATTCTGCCGACATGGCCCCGTTGATAGTGGCTGCCCAACCGGCCAGCAGTTCCCTGGAAAATCTGCTAAAGAGCAAACGAGTTCTAGGATGTGGTCTGTTGGCCCTCCTCATTGTCGCAGGGTGTATCACCGTGGGTGTCGTATGTGGTACGGGCAATTGTTCATCAGCCTCCGTTGACAGAGACGGCCCCCCACAAAGTCCATTCATTGCGGTGCCATCGGATCCGCCAAAGGACCCTTCCACAGCAACTGTGTTTCCAAGAAATGACACCACAACTCCTCCAACAGCAGACACCAGCAGTCCCTCCTCTCCCCCAACGGCTCAGAGTTCCAGCGCACCAAGCGCAATTTTGGATGTCTTGGAGGGTCTAAATCTGCCCGAATACACACGCAATGCTCTCACGAATCCGTCATCCCCCCAAGCACAAGCGTATGATTGGCTGAGGGAGGACGCTGCAACCTACGGAAAAGAACGCCTTCTTCAACGCTTTGCGCTTGCCACCTTGTATTACGGGACGCAAGGCGACAATTGGAATGCAAAGGATGGTTGGCTTTCGCACTCTGAAAGTGAGTGTTCGTGGTGGATGGGGCAGCCCGCGTCAAGGTTGCAAAAGACATGCGACGATTCATCCAACTTGAAGCACCTCGTTCTGGAGCAAAATGAACTCGCTGGGTCCCTGCCTCCAGAAGTGGGGTTGCTCTCTTCTTTGGAGTTCTTTGACCTGTCCGGGAATGCACTCAGTGGGGAGTTGCCTGTTTGGGATTCCCAGTCCGGAGACACCACGCTGAGGACACGAGTTCCCGCGACCATGATAGAATATCGTTTGGCAAGAAACAGGTTTTACTCTACCATACCCACAGAAATTGGTCTGTTGACATCCCTACAATCCATTGATTTACAACTGAATTTCCTTCTTGGCAGCATTCCACCAGAGTTGGAAAATCTAAGCGACCTGAAATTCTTTTCCGTCTCTACAAATCCAGAACTGACCGGGACCATGCCTTCGTCCCTGTGCAGCATTGAGAACCTTCATTTCGAGTGCTCCAATGATTTGTGCGGTTGCCAATGCGAATTTTGTAACTCGGAAACAGAATCACCGACCGAGACACAATCGCCGACCGAGGTAGAATCATCCTTGAGCTTTGACTGGGATTTTGCCGATTTTCTGGCTCTGCCACAATACACAAGAGATGCTCTGCAGAATAGATCCTCCCCTCAGTTTCGTGCCCATGAATGGGTCAAGGAGGATTACAATGCTGTACCGTATGGCGCTGAAGAACTGCTTCAGCGATTTGTTCTCGCTACTCTCTTTTACAGCACAGGTGGTGAAAACTGGAGGGAAAACGATGGCTGGATGTCACACCAAGTAAATGAATGTTCTTGGTGGATGGGTAGTGCGGGCGTGATGAATGATCGGTGGATCCCAGAAGAAGTTTGTGATCAGTCACGATCCTTCAAAATGCTGGGTCTTACTGAAAATGGACTTGTTGGAACAGTGCCGCAAGAAGTTAGCTTGCTGTCATCTCTGGAGCACATTTACTTGTCTGGGAATCAGCTCACCGGTCCATTGCCTATATGGGAGTCTCAATCTAGCCTGCCATTCTTGCAGACGATGTATCTGTCTGGGAATCAATTGGCATCTACAATCCCTTCAGAAGTCAGACATCTGACGTCACTGCAACATCTGGACCTTTCTTCCAACAAACTTTCAGGACAACCGCCATTGGAAATTGCAGAGCTCAGCAATCTGCTTGAAGTCATCCTTGGAGAGAATGCTGATCTTTCTGGGACGATCCCTGAAGAAGCGTGCAACGTAGTCTTGTTTGATTGCTCAAGCAAGTTGTGCGGGTGTGACTGTCCCTGCACCCCATCAGTGCCAATGGAGCCAGCCAGTGAACCAGCCAGTGCACCGATCGCTTCGGTGGATTCCCTAGAGCTCCCACAGTACACAAGAGATGCCCTGCAGAACACTGCATCTCCTCAATCAAAGGCATATGAATGGCTGAAGGATGATTTCGACATTGCAGGAATTTATGACGCTGATCGCTTGCTCCAGCGCTTTGCTCTTGCAACCCTGTTCTATAGTGCGGGTGGTGAAAGCTGGGATCACAGGGGTGGTTGGCTCTCTTCCGACAACGAGTGTACCTGGTGGATGGGTTCAAAATCAGTTGGCTACTGGCCAGCTGAAGTATGCGATGAATCATCGTCATATGTCATCATGGTTCTAATTGAGAATGGTCTGGTTGGCACTATTCCACAGGAGATTAGCTTGCTATCATCTCTTGAACAGATGCACTTGGAGGATAATCAGCTCAGTGGGAGAGTGCCTGTTTGGGAGTCTCAACAACCCATTTTGGGGGCTTTGTATCTTGCTCGGAATGCATTTTCATCTACCATTCCGACGGAGATTGGGCTACAAAGTTCACTGTCATTCCTTGACGTCAGTGCCAACCAGTTGACGGGTGCTGTACCACGAGAAATTGGCAACCTCCGTGACCCAGTTGAAGTCAACCTGTTGCAAAATGATGGCCTTTATGGAACCATTCCCGCCTCCCTATGTGGCATTCCGTCTCTTAAAGTTGGATGCTCAGATATTTTGTGCGGATGTACATGTCCCCCCTGTGTTGCTTCATCGATGGATTCCATGCCATCAGTTAGTTCGCCACCAAGCGCGGGCCCAGTTGCTCCGATTCCATCGCTGTCCAATGATTCACCCCAAGAAACAAGTTACGAATGTTTTGGCACGAAAGATGATTTGGACATTGCGCTAGATTCCGACTACGCAGACACCAGCGGCGACATCTACAACTCGTATGGGCCGATTGAAAACTGGTGTTTCAAAGCAAATGTGAACAACTTTACCGCGTTGTTCCTGAACAGAAGACTAACACACGACATCAACGCCTGGGTAGGTCGACGTCTGGCTTCTTCACCACTCATAAAAATCTGTTGTGCCATCTCAGCCTTGTTCCTTTTGTCTGCTGCTAAAAGGACGTATCGGTAAGAGATTCGATCGGTCTTTGCCATGTGATTTTGAAACTTTTTGTGTCTAACCGGAACTATGGGCTTAGAGTGTGCGCGAGATGGACTACATGTTTTGGAATGGTGAATACACCGGATCGCTCTCTAGCTGGCATGTTGCAGTAAGTAGTTCCTGTACGTGCTTGCGCCACGACTTTGCTAGCGTCTCACTCCGCACCTCCAAAGCGAGTAACAAGCATGTCGGGTTTGTTTTGGAACACTAGCTCCTTCACAGACGACCTAAGCAGCTGGGATGTGAGCAAGGTCAAATGGATGACCCAAATCTTCGCAGACAATTTTGCATTTGTCGGGGATGTATCGACGTGGAAGACCTCTAATGTATTCTTTATGGCGTCAGCCTTCGCCGGTGGCGTAAGTGGTTCACCGAGTGACAGTCTGCTAGGTCGTTCATGCAGCCGGGGGTGGCACTCATGTTTCCCGTTTTCCTACAGACGTTCAATTCTGATATCTCTCAATGGGATGTATCTTCTGCTGACAGCTTCAACGTGGTGAGTTCCACCCCGGGGGGAGGGGCGGTTAGGCGGATCAAGAGTAGCGACCTAACACGCTACAACTCTTTCCAACGAAAGCTTTTTGCTGGGAATCCCGCCTTCAATCAAGATTTGAGTAGCTGGGATGTGCAGAGAGTGACCGACTTTAGTCTCACGGTACGCAGCCAGCAGGTCCTGTGGACGCGTCATGTGGCTCGACAGAACCTCACTTTGATCTTGTCTTCGCGGATTCTTGTGGTCGGATCTCGTTTGCCAGTTTGATGGGGCCACAGCGTTCAACTCCGACATTAGTGGCTGGGATGTGTCAAGTGGCATGGACTTTTTTAATATGTTTTCGTCTGCGTTCGAGTTCAATCAAAATTTGTGCGGTTGGAAAATAAACGCAGAAGCCAATGTCACGGAAATGTTTTCTATGAGCAGCTGCGAATCAGAGGCACCTCCCGATCTTCTGGCAGACCCCAAAGGGCCACTCTGCGCTGAGTGCGAGGCGGGCAATATCTTCGATAATGGTTAGGAGCTCTGGAAATGCTTAAAAACCGTCTCGAAGGTGGAATACAGAGTTATACCTTTGCCTTCTTCTGAGTGGTTGGTGTCAACCAGCTTCGTTCTATTCAACTGCCGCCCGGTTACCGGCTAGCCCTCGGGGTTTCATGCTCCGGTACGATGCCAAAGGTTGCCCTACCGACAACAATACTCCCACTCTGGTATTTTGTTGATGTACCGGTACCCATCCTGCGAAGCTGGTTGCGCCGCTTTCGTGGACACATTCAAGGCACAGACTAAGCAGTATGAGGAACAATTATTTTATGATCAGAGCTATCATAGAAACAGCTTGCCGACTGGAAGAGACGTGAATAGGAAAGTATATCAAGTTGTCTTATTAAAAATGGTTGTGCCTCGGTATTGATTACATCATAGTTGCAGCCATGCCAACAACTCCGAAAACTGTTACATTCTCATGAGGGATGTTATCAGTAACAATCTCTACCAGATCAATATCACAGGAAGAAGGTGTGATCTCAAAGATGTGAATGCTGGGTTGACCATCTGAACGGTGGCCAGTGCTAAGCACATAAAGGAATTCATCCACGATAGACATATCAAGGGGTGCATCCAGAATGGCTGCCACAGGTTGCACCAAACCGACTTCTCCAGAATAAGCATCAACTCTCAAGCTTGAAAGGGAATTGGCATTTCCATTGTTAGTGGTGTAAGCGCAACCACTTTCAGCATGGCGCCTGATCCAACAGGTGGCAGTTTGAAGAGTTCCCTCTGATGAGGTAATGTTTGTCAATTCACCAGTTGCAGAGTTGATCTCATAAGAGCTGACCCCTCCAGCATTGAGAGTTGGGCCTTGGACTGCTGGGACTCTGGCGGCAGTACCAAAAGCTTCAGTCACAAGCAAGTTGCCTTGATCATCAAACTCAAAGGCAAAGGGAGTGAAACCAACAGATCGAGTTCGCGTGGGTTCTCCCAAAAGACCAGTTGTGTAGTCAATGGGGTACAGCAAGATGCTTCCTTCAGTGGTACCCTTTATCAACACAACAAGATGCGAACCATCTGGTGTAAAGCCAATTTGAGCTGGGGCTACCAGGAAGAAGGGTGGATTCTGGCCATCGGTGATGTTGAGGGATACTGTGGACCCTGCAACGGGTGTCAAAGTGCAGCTATGGTCTTTGATGAAGCCAGTGATGCTCCCATCACCGCCAGCATTCAAGACGTACACAAGATCGGCGTTTTCAGCGACACTCAACGGGAAGGCTCCACTCGTGTTGTAGACTCCTGCCGCAACAAGCTCATTTGGTTTCACAGCAAAGCTTGTCACAGAATCAGATCCAGCATTGACTGCCAAAATGCACTCATCATTGGTGGTCACGATCAAGGAATCTTGAGAAGCAAGAGGATCATTGGGACCTTCCTGTGCAGCACCTCCTTTGCCACCAGTGGGGAAAGACCTAATGAAGTGGATGGTGCCATTTTGGTCGTCACGGCTGAACATTAGAACCTCGTTCATTGTTTTGGCATTGGTCATGGTGAACACATGGCTTGTTGGTGCAACAGCCCCAGAAGATGGATCGACCGGGTTGGATGGAGTTTCTGTTATGGGGCCTTGAGAAGACGGATCAGCTGTAGCAGGGGCCAGAGAAGCTGAGGTTCCTGTGACAGGATCCTGAGTGGATGGTTGCTCAGTGAGAGTGGAAGAGCTAGAAGGTCCAGATGTTGGCTGGAATCCAGTGGAGAAAAAGGATTCCAACCGAGTGTTGCATTCTGCGAAGCTCAACCCTATTGCAGGATCACGTGAGCAAAGGCTTTGATGAACAGTCATTTCTGGATTCAAGGATGCAACCTCAATGCCCAGTTGCACATTTCCAGTAGTTTGGATGAGTGCCTTGTACTGCGCCCCTTTGGTACATAGGAAACTGCGAAGGAATGGTGGGTTGCTGGTCACGACTTCACCACAGTTGCCTGCACCAAAGGCCAAGTAGACAATCTCCAACAAGTCCAGTTGCTCAGTGCCAAGCTGTGAAGATGTCAGGTCCTCTCGTGAAATGAGAGGGGTGCTAGGTTCCAGGGTAGCAGCGCTGGGCGCAGGGGTCGTTGCCGATGACTGACTAGTAGGAGGATTGGTTGTTGGGCTGGGAGTTTCTGGTGCCTGAGTAGGAGGGTTGGTTGTAGGATTGGGAGTTTCTGGTGCTTGAGATGGTGTCTTGGTCGTTGGGCTGGGAGTCTGGGGTGCCTGAGTTGGTGGTTTGGTCGTTGGGCTGGGAGTTTCTGGTGCCCGAGTAGGAGGGTTGGTTGTGGGGTTGGGAGTTTCTGGTGCCTGAGTTGGTGCTTTGGTCGTTGGACTGGGGGTTTCTGGTGCCTGAGTAGGAGGGTCTGTCTTGAGTGTTTGAAAGCCAGAACAGAATGATTGCAAGTTCAAAATGCATTCAGCCTCTTCCGTATCAGAAATGCCGTCCCTGGACTCTTCAATGCCACGGCTAGCATCACGGTAGATGCAAGTGTTGGTGCTACCAGTGCAAAACCTGCCGGCACAAGCTCTCAAGTCACGTTGACTGCTGCTTTCCGCAATGAGCCCCCCCCAGGGAAATCCGGTTTGGGCAGCAAAAGGAGCACTGCAGACATCTACAGGGACTCCTCCAAAGCTGGATTGAAGATCTTCAAAAGTAAAGCATGGGCACTGGCTCCCAGGGACACGGCGGGTGAAAGGGAAATTCTGGTCCAATTTGCGCTGCGAGCTTGCGCCATGACGAAGCCCATGGCCAACTGCAGTGGAGCATCCCAAAAGTACTGTTAGTGTAGCTAAACTGAGGCTGGTCTTCATTGTAGTAATGGCTGTTGGTTGGTTTTGAGTTATTGGTTTTCAATGTTGTGAGATGATGATTGCGGTCACTGCATTATCGTACGGTAGGTTGACTGGGTTAGCAGACCCATACTTCACTGCAATAGCACAAGCCCCGTCGCTCCCACTCGTTTCCGGCTCTGAGTTACGACGGACACAGCGAAAGACAAACTCACTGGTTATCGGTGGGAGCTTGGGCATGTTGCGTTTGGAGAAAAACCCCAAATAGTTCCCAGAAGATCTATTCGAGTAAAACATTCGAAATAATTCGAGTGATTTCTCGAATTGATCGGGTTCTCTGTGGCCCGGCGCTTGGCATTGTGGCATCCACTCATTTCAGCTCTCCTTTTCTTGTTCAACCTTGTTGGGAGGTGTCTGGACGTCCATTTTATATTCGGACTTGTATCGTAGGAGAAGCAAAAATCAAGATGGGCAAGAACAACAAGAAACGCAAGAGGACGAACCATGCGTTGTTTCATGCCGTGAAAGCTCGAAACCAAGGAGTAGAGCCCATCAAACCGGTGATACCGAGCCAGTCGACCCCTGCCAAAACTGACACCACTAGTGATGAAATTTCCGACGCGGACTTGGCCACTACCATTCGAACCTTGGAAACGTTGGTGTCCTCCTCTTCCGATTCGACAATGTTTCACGGGAAACGATTCAAAGAATTGCGACGGACGTTGCATCCGTTGGTGTTGGAACAATTGCAGAGTTACGACAAGGGCGTGGACTATCGTCACAAGGTGACCCATGCGTTGCAACATCACCAATGGTCCGATGCCTTGGCGGCCCTTCGGGCATGCCAAGATTTTCAGCAGTATCCCAAACAGGGAACCGTCCAACGATGGGTCCGCGAATGCAGTGCCTTGGAGGACAACGGAGGGCAGATGCCACTCTTGCAAGCCATTTTGCGATTGAGTGCGGCCGCAGGAGCGGGAGCAGGCGATGGCAACAAGCACGATCCCGGACAAGCATTGGCGGCTCATTTGGCCAATCAACCGGAAAATAAAGAAAAATTGGTTATTTTGGAAGGATGGAAGTGGTGGGATAATGATAGCAACATCAACAGCAACAGCCAGAATGATAGTATTAGCCAGGAGAAAACAGAAGACGACAAAGAGAAGCAAGAAGAGGAGAAAGAAAAAGAAGCAGGCGAGAAGACTGCCAACAAACAAGAGGAGGGCAAAGTTGCCAAGAAGGAAGATTCAAAGAAAGAGGCTACAAGAGACGACAATACTCCCTTGGACAATCTCAAATCTCGCATTGTCTATCGAGAAACCGCGGCTGAACGGACACCTCCCAATCACTACGACCTCCTCTTGCATGCCATTACCAAACCTGACAAGAATTTGATTACCTGGAGCGACAACCATTCCACTACCCAATCGCATCCCATTCCCTTTTTGCCACAACCCGCACGCGTCTTGCCCAATGTCTTGACCCGTGACGAATGTCAACAATTGCGTCGCGTCACGACGACCCTCGGATACCGGTCCGATCATCCTGTCTCGCAGGCACAACCCACGGGGATTGATAGTTGCGAATGGATGGTCGACTCGTCATCCATTCTCGATGTAATTTGGGAACGTGTCCAACCGCACTTGCCCGCGTCCCTGACCGTCCAAAACAAAAAGACGGTCCAATTGTTTGGCATCAACCCGCGATGGCGTTGCTTCCGCTACGGACAAGATTGCGTCTATCGACCTCATTTGGATGGCAGTTGGCCCTTGTGTTATTTAGATGAAGAGGGAAATTACCATTGTCCCAAGCAACAACAGCAACAATATTCCGACGCGATCAAGTCCTATTTGACCTTTTTGATTTACCTCAATGACGATTTCGAAGGCGGAGAAACGAGGTATTACTTACCCCAAGGCGTTGCCCGTGGAATTGTGCCACGAGCGGGATCAGTGGTCGTCTTTCCACAAGGCAACCTGGCGTCGTTGATTCACGAAGGATCCCAGGTTACCAAGGGAACCAAGTACGTGATACGGACCGATGTCTTGTACCGACCGGCCGGCAAGGCGCAGGAGACCGATGACGACACCAACAAAGAAGAAGAAGTCGAGGAGGAGGACGGCAATGATGAACAGGAGCAGTGATGGACTAGCTAGGTATATGTTTGTGCTTTTATTTTTAAAACACCTTATGTTCTGAAAACCCAGAGACAACTCCGTCGAAACCTCCCATAGCTAGCTAGCGAAAACCCCGGAGAACCAGGAAAGCTACTAATCGGTTTGAAATTAACACTCTTTCCCAGAAATTCTTGATGGTGCACCTGATCTATCAAAGCTTCTGATTGCTGATATGGAGATGATTCTTGTGCCAACGGTTTGCTGCTCTCGTGCTCCCCGCCAGCCAATTTTTTTTCATTCATCACTACTACTCGTATCGTCACAATCGGTTCGCTCAGATGGTTTTTGACACATGGCCATGAAGGATTCAAACGATGCAGGGCCAGCACCGCCACCGCACCCAATTGTATTAGACGCCGAGGCCAAGGTGACGGTATCCATGGGAGCCCGATAGGAAGACAAGGGATCGTGACGTACTTCCAAGGCAGTTTCGACAACGCGCAGTTCCGGAAAGGAGTCGTCTACTACTAATAGTGGCACTGGCAAGTCAACCAATTCTTCCCAAGCAAAGAGCAAGGCATCGGTTTGGACGCTCCAAACATTGAAATCCACCAGCCACACCCGATCGCTCTTGTCAACGTAAACGTCAAATACGTAATTGGCACGTTGATTGTTGGCAAAACGGTGGCACACGACATCCTCAAAGAATTCAACAAGGAACGAGTGTATTCGTTCCTTGTCGTGAAGCAAATGTGGATAATGCTGACTGTGATTTCGTTGGGATATGCCAACTATAAACAGAGTGCAACGCATGCAACCATGTAATGTGAGCCAGATAGATCGACGCAACAATCGTCCATCATTTCCTGAAACCACTGACTTACTCAAGTTGTGATTTCTGACAAAACATCGAAACTCCATACTAGGATAGAAATTGCACCATTTCCGCAGCACCAGTTCCAGTCGAGGCTGCACTTCTTCTTTGGATTCTTTTTGCTCTTGAATTTTTTCTTGAAAGACTTGCCAGTCATGGAGACAGAAATCACTGCTTTTGAGCAATAAATAGACATCTCCTGGCGTCTTGCATTTCAGGGTTCCTTCGTTGACCCATGTGGCATCTTTGGGCGCCGACCAATTCAACTTGGGCACCACCGATCCTCCCAAGGCTTCAATGGCTTCTTCGATTTGTTGGTTGAGTTGGGGAAATGAAAATTGTTGTTGCTCTGAATCATTGGACTGCTGATCGTCGTCACAACTGCTGTCATCAGATTGTTGTGGTTGTTCATTGGGAGCACAGGAAGACAGTCTGGTAGCTCCATTGGGCAAACGAATTCCATCGGCCAGCAAAAAGTCTGAGAAATCGGCAGGAAGCGGCGACACAATTTGGGACTTGATCGTCACGTTGCTGCGGCGTTCGTCACAATCACACTTGTCCAAATGGCAAAAGGTGGGAAACCAGGAACTGAACTGGCATTCGAGCCACTCCTCGCGACTAGCTTTGAGCGGAAGGGGATTGCCAGCTCCACTGCTGTTGGTTGGTTCGGTTGTTGCTTCTGCTGCTGCCATGGTTGACCTTTAGTTTGATAGAAAATCACAGAATAGAAGAGATCACCTGACAAAAAATTCTACCACCCTCCATCCGGCCCACAATCACTGGTTATCGGCGGCGAGTGCCTGTGAGTCCGCTAATTGAGTCACTAACATGACGCTGCTGTATCTTTGAATTCTGCTTCAAATTGACGGCTTGCTCGCGATCTTCTTCGTTCTTTGGGATCTTCCGTCAAAGGCGCAGCATCATCCCCAAAAGCTTTTCCAAAGCAGGTTTTGTGATACCAGACAGCTTGTTTTCCCAATTCTTTGTCATTCTGCAAACGTAATTGCGTATTTCTTTCCGCCAAAGAAGAATCGAATCCTTTTCTTTGTGTGATGGCAATTGCTTTCTCACAAATCAATTTCTTGAGAAATTGCAATCAAACAACACGAAACCAAACTACTACCAAACTAACCATGATGATCAAGACTGTCGCCTCCGTTGCCGCTTTGGCCACCGCCGTCCAAGGATTTTCTTCCATTGCCGTTCCTCGACCCGATGCCTCCAAGGCTGTGAAAGAGGCGCTTGAAATCACAGAGTCCTTTGGAATCAACTCCAATGAAGCCAAGGTGGCCTGGGATATTGTGGAAGAGATCGATGCCAGTGATAACAGGTACGTGGGTTTCTGCAAACGGTGTCGTTGGTGTTGGCTGAAATTCTTCCCTCAGTGGCTGACCTTTTTTAACTTCTTTCTTGAATAAATAGTGAAGCCACCAAGGGCAGCTTGGATGCTGAATGTCCCGTGCAAGAAGAAGTGAGCTTGGAATGCATGGACTATGGAACCTTCATGGACCAGATGAAGGTCGTTCGGGATCTCACCTCGGAGAAAAACCACAAAGCCAACCAGAATGGCATGGCCAGTGTTTTGAAAAATGTCAAGTTGGCAACACCACAAGGTGCCGTCGGCGGTAGCAGCCCCGAGCTGGAACGAGCTCTGTTGGAAGCTCGCACGGCCACGCAGGAATACGGCATTACCTCCCCTGAAGCCAAGCTGGCTTGGGAAACCTACGAGGATATCGCCTCTTCGGGCACTCAAAATGCCATGGGAACTAACCTCATTGATGAATGCAGTGTCGAAGCAGGACAAGAAGCTTGTGAAGCCATGGAAGAGTTGGAACGTGTCATGCCCGTTCTTTTGGCCATTTCCGATCAATACAACGACAACCAGCACAACTAGATGTGTGGAAGGTGAAAGGGAAGGATGCAGGATTTCCATTATTGCTCCTCCATCAGTTTTGACCCACAGTTTTAAATTCTGGCTAGCGATAGACACATAAAATGAATAAAAAGACAACTTTTTGCTATGTTCAGGCTGCTATTGTCATGCTCAGGTGGCAAGCTAAAGTTGCTACAGTCACCGGAAGATCGCTGTAGCCGGCGTCCTATTTTATTGTTGTTGCTGCAGCAAAACCATTGTCTCTTTCTCCGGTTGCGCATGTTCTTCTTGTTGGGTTTCCTGCCTTGTGGTTGGCTCTTCCTCTGGTTGACCCTGTACATCTTGTTGCATCTCTATGGTTTCTGTTTTGGTTGTCGTTGTTTCCTTCTTGTTGCCAAGCGCATCATAAGAATCCCAGGGATTGGCCTTGTCCACACCTAATCGCACCCATTGTGTGACAATGTGCTTGTGACCCTCCAATACCGGACAACCAGAATGTTCGGTGAATCCAGTATCCACTTGCATGGACTGTGGATCCACATAACTAAAAAACACAGCCATTCCCGCCTTGGGTTGCACATGGACACCAGCATTTCGAAAATGAGTATGCCCTCCTCGGGTAGCAGTTTCACAATACATGACCATGGTGGCAACACGATCAGGAACTTTGTGTTGGCCTCCACGACAGGGACCATCACAGTGATGCAGATATTGGTCTGGTGATTCTTCCTCTTCCTGATTCATGCCAGTTTGTTGATAGTGATGATACCGTTCCTTTCCATGGTATTGAATGCTTTTCAAGGGTTCCTGACCATGTTCTGTAATATTCAGATGCATCACATAGTTGGTGTAATCGTACACACGACGACTCAGCGTGGTCAAAGGGTGGTGTCGAGACTCGACATGCCACGGAATGGTAATTGCCGCTTCCCATGCTTTGCGTTCTTGACTTAGTTTGGCACCACCGGTTTGGTCGTCCACCACCAATGCACGTCGTAGTCCGGGTACCGCCGCTTCTTGGACGGCTCGACATTCCTCGGGTTCGATAAAATCGTGCAAAACATGAATTTGACTGGATGGGCGGGCATGCAACACGTCGACGGGATGTGCAATGTAATCACCCGATTCCCATGAAAAGGTAGTCAGTGGAGGACTCGTCGACATGGGTTCATCATCATAGTCATCATCATCATTGCAAACGTAATCCTCCACCTGTGCTCCTAGATATTTCAAGGCATATTCGTGAAATCTCCATTCGGCATTCCAGTGTTTCAAAGACGCCGTGGTGGCCTGTAATAGGCAGTCTTCCAGATTGTCGTTTGCGTCATGACAGTGTTGCAGAGCTTCTTGTGCCTTTTGTTGCGCAATAATGGTGGCATCCTGGACGGTAACTTGCAGATTCGGCAAGACGATAACTTCTGGATCCAAGCCCTGTGGAATTTCGAATTGGGCCGATTTCTGACAGTCTGCTTGTACGCATTTTCCTGTTTCCGGATCCGGTAGTTCCTGCACCATCATGACAGTACCCACAATGCCGACTCGTGAAGAAACGTGCGCTCCTGGAACAACACCTTCACTGGATGTCAGGATTCTCAGCTCCTCTGCGCCATCATCCGTCTTCAACACTCGATAGACGACCAACCGATAGGGACTCTGGTTAAAGAGAGGAACTTTTTTTATGGGACCATCAGCTCCAGCATCACCAATCAAGTCTTCCGGATTTACTTCAGTCCGCAGAACCCCACTAGCTTTTAGTGGTAGCAATGCGAGGAGGAGGAGGAGGGACAAGATACACAATGGCGGCCATCGTGGAGAAGCTGAATTCCGGACTACTAACATGGTGGTGTTGGATTTTTGTGACGCTGTTTTGACCGTGGCTAGCTAGCTTTGTGGTACATGTACAGTAGGATTGTTGGACAAACAGAAACGGCTGCTTCCGACACGATTGCGCTCACTTTTTTGGCACCCCAACGGTTTTGTGAGGCTGGCTAGAGAGTGCTTTGCATATCCATAGCAAACCAAGCTACTATAGTGCAATATACCGTACAGTACAACGAGCTCTTTCAGAGGTTGCTGCTTTTTATTAAAAAAACCTTTTATTGAAAGAGAGATAGCTAGGTCAAGAAAAAGTCTGCTCTCCTGAACCTACTAGAACCGTACCGGTATAGAGTCAAGTCTCACTGCTGCACTGGTTGTCGATACGCTCGTGGTGGGCCTCTTCCGCTGTGATGAATTATTTGTTGTAGAATGAGTTCTTGCCGCGCATTAGCAAAGCATTCCTCGTCATATTCCAAGTCTGGATTGTCGCGAAAATCAAAACGACGAATGTTGGCAGTGTCTTCGTCTTCGTCCATATCCAATGCGCCCTCTTCACCACTATTTATTTCTGTTTGTACTTCTGCTTCTCTCTGCTCCCCTTCAAATTCATGCTCGTTGTCAGTGCTCTCCTTTTCCTTGTCGAGCTTATTGTTGGCGTCGCTTGCATCAAAAGTTTGTTCTTCCTCGCCATCTTCACTGCTGTCACTGTGTACATCTGCCTCTTTTCTTTCTCCATCTTGCTCCTCCTCTTCGTCTTCATCCCAATAATTGGGATCTTGAATTCCCAGGGTATTGAATGAGTCAAAGGGATTGTCCTCATCCACACCCAGCCTTAGCCATTGTGTGACAATCTTTTTCGATCCATGGTACACGGGACAACCAGAATGACTGGTAAATCCACGATCGGTCAAGTTGGTATGTGGGTCCACGTAACTAAAAAAGACGGCCGATCCTGCTGTGGGTTGGACATGGACACCAGCATTGCGAAAATTGGTGTGTCCTCCAATGTCAGGGACTTCACAGTACATGACCATGGTGGCAACACGGTCGGCCCTTTTGTGAGGTCGTCCATGACACGGTCCATCACAGTGGGGCATGTATCGATCCGGTGGTTCCTCGTCACTCTCGGGTCCAAAGTATTGGATACTCATCAAATCTTTCGTAGTTTCATAAATAAATTCATGAGTAATCAATTGGCACGACAATCGATTGCATGCAACAACCGTAGCTTACCTTCTTGTCCCTCGTTCGTCAGGTTGAGTTTCAGCACATGATTGGTATACTCCAGGACCCGTAGACTGAGTTGCGAGATAGGATGAAAAGGCATATGCCATGGCACCTGAACACCGGCTTGCCAGGCTTTGCGATGTTCACTGAATCGATTACCACCCTTGCCATCGTGAATCTTGGCACGATGCAAGTAGGCACGAGAGTACTCCATAATGGCCTCACATTCCGGTGGATCAATGAATCCTTCCACGAGATGAATTTGACTGCTGGAATAGTCGTGCAATACGGATACTTCGTAGTCTTCGTCTTCGCGCGGATTGTGCCACAGGTTCCGATAGAGGGGTTCGCTGGTTTCCAGCGTGGTATCTTCGCAGGCGTAATCCTCATAGGCATTGGCCATGACGTCCTTACGAATGCGATTGTGAAATCGAACGTCTTCGCGAATGTGTTCCACGGATGCTTGGAGCTTTTGTTGGACGCAGGACAGGAGAGACACTTTCTCTTCCTTTTTGCAGTCCTCTAGCATTTGCCGTGCTTCCGCTTGGGCTCGAATGTGTGCATCCTGCGTGTGGACAGCCCAATCGGGTGTAATGGTCACGACTTGTTCTTCTTCGCCCGAGGCTGTGAATTGCAAGGTTGGACTCGTCTTGGTTTCCTCTACTACGGCAAAGACATGACCGCCTCGAACCTTGTGAATGTCCAAAGAGGAACCAGGGAAAACAATGGGGTGGCTGAGCAACTGCCAGGAATCTTCTTGTTCAGGATGCGCGACGTAGTAAACGTGGACGGATCGATCACTCTGATTGATCACTTGGATACTGACGGCTCTCCGTTGCTGGCAGTGACACAACGGCAGTAGTATCAGGAAGGCAAACAACCAGAGAAAGGAGAAGGAAGCCATCGTCATGGCGGACAGTATTACAACAGTCAAACATAGAGCCTTCTGTGACAAATGAAGGCCACCAACTCCAATTCGTCAAAGTTTGGGAAATTTTGTGAGTCGGGGGTTAGCTGGACGTTGGGATGCGTCCAACATTAGAGATAGAGGTCATCCCATAACGGTCATGAATTCAATCGAATAGAATAGAATTCAATCGAATATCAATAGATCATCGATCCGAATGAATTCAATTTCGTTTCTGACGCACATCACGGGGCGGTGGCAACGGGCAAGGAACGCCATCTGCCATGGCTACCGGTACTAGCTAGCATGGCTTGGAGCTCGCGCCTTCACTTGCTTTTCTTGTGTTGTTTCCTTCCCATAGTTTACCTGGTAGCATCCCAATCTGAACAAGGAAGACAATCACTGTGAGCAACCATGGAAGACCAGTTTCGTCCCGATGGGATTATGGAGAAGGATGCTCCTCTCCAGCCTCCAGCAACAACCCCAGGTATCCAGCATATGGGCGGCGATGCTGCCCCCATTCCTGATCCCCTTCAGCCGTTGGAAATTGAGGATGGCAGGGAAGATGGCGCCAACATGCCCAGTGCCAGTCCCGTTGATGAGCATCAGGCAGAGCAGCATGCGGTCCCTGTGGAACAGTCCAAGTCAAAGGATGGTTCTGGCAGCAGCAAGTTGCCGCTCATTTATATCATCGTGGCCTTGCTTGTTGTGATTGGAATCATTGTGGCAGGAGTCTGTGGCAGTGGCAACTGCAGCAGTAAGGGCTCCTCTTCAGAAGAACAGGAACTCAGCCCCAGAGATATGGAAGGCATGGACATCAAAGCCCAGCTGGAAAAGGTGTTAGGAAGCACTTATTTTGATGGTTCCACAGTCAGCACCGAACCCCATCAAAAAGCACTCAACTGGATCATCCATCAAGATCCCAGCCAGTTGCCTCCGGATTCCGTCCATCTTCTCCAACGATTTATTTTAACACAGTTTTACTACAGTACATCACAAGCCAGCCCTTGGAAATTCTGTGGCGCTGCCACTGGTGCACAAACAGCTGAATGCTACTTTCAATTTCTGAATCAAGAATTCATTAACGAGCGATGGTTGTCCGGGGTTTCCGAATGCCGGTGGGCTGGATGTACTTGTGAAGGCGAAACAGAAAACATTACTTCAATTGATATATGTAAGTATTTATGACGGAACAACACAACCTGTCCACCAAGCTTCTTTCCAATCTTTGGCAGCATTTTTTCTGCCAATTCCAACAGGGCACAATGACTTCACAGGGTCACTCCCAAGTGAGCTTGGATTATTGTCACATGCAATCGCTTTGTCTCTTCGAGCACAAAACTTTACTGGCACGATACCCACAGAAATATACCAATTGACAGCTCTTTCCAATTTGGGGCTTTCCGGGAACAATTTTACAGGAACCGTCAATCCTGCTGTCTTCTCCATGCCATTATTGAATACACTCCATTTTAGTTTTAACCACATGACAGGCACCATCCCAACTGAAATTGGGCTCTTTCCAGGTATGCGCACATTGTGTTATCTAGACAAATGCATCTTCACCCAGGTTCATTGCTGATCATTGGAACCTATTGCCCTTTTCACTTCAAAGGAAAGCTGCTCTTCTTTGCCAAAAATTCTTTTACAGGAACGATTCCTTCAGAATTATTTTCCACCAAAAATACCACGGATATGCATTTTGAACATAATGAGGTGGGTTGACCTGTACTGTTGTTTCCAACGTCCAATAACTTTACATCCTCTCATGATATTGGTTGGCTAGCTCTCTGGAACAATTCCCACAGAAGTTGGGATATTATCCCAGCAAGTCAGAGAAGACAATGGTGGTCCTGGATTGAATTTCGCCGGCAATAATGCATTGTCTGGTACAATTCCATCAGAGTTTGGGCTGGTGAACCATCTAAAAAATTTATATTTCACTGACACGAGCATTGAAGGCACCATTCCTGAAGAGCTATTCTTGAATTGCCTCGATTTGAAGATAATCATTGGTGAAAATTGCAACTTGGGGGGTACATTGAGCACCAACTTTGGATTGCTCACAAACCTCCAATATTTACGGTTGGCCAACAACAACTTTGAAGGTAGCATACCCGTGGAGTTTGAAGCCCTGACAGGATTGAAAGAGTTTACAATCAATGGAAATCCTGAACTCAGAGGGATTATTCCTGATGACATGTGCTTTGAGAATGTTTGGAATGCTCAAGGACTTGAGTTTGTAGCCGACTGTGCGCCTACCGCAATCACGGGAAGTGATGGTACTACCAGCATGGGAGAACCATTTGTGTCTTGTCCTGAAGGATGTTGCAGTATGTGCTGTGATGGAGGGACTGGAATCTGCATGGAGCAGTAGCTCTCTGGATATTGATTTGTGAGGACAGCCACAGTTATTCCTGTGAGGCAGTAATTTGCCCAAGCCCATCGTGCGCCCACCAAACGCAAGAAAATTGCGTGTAAACAAAATGTTTTGTTTATGACTGACTAGCTATGTAGCCAGCCACTACATGGAAGTGGATAATTTACGAAAGCAAATTCTTGGGCATGGAAGACCAGCCAGGCGGATTCCCTTTGCCTCGATTTTTTTGTTGGTCTGACCATCTGTGAGGATCAAATGGATGTGCGTTGGCTCGTTTGGAACCTGGCTGGGGGGCCTTGCTGCTGCACGAGGAAGTTGCTTTCCATACAGTTCGGTCGCTGGAGCGAATAATTCAATCGAGGGTTTTCAGGATAGCATGCCAGCGGCGCCCAAGATGCACTGGCCTGCCGGACAGATGGATTTTCACACCCAGGTCATCAATCGGCCTGCTTCCTTCGTTGAAACGGTGTACTGAGCAATTGCAAACGGGGGGGAGCTTTCCATCCAGCCATTAGTAAAGAAGCAATTACTATGGTTATTGAAGTTCCAACTGACTGAAAATTGGACTGTGCGTCTTCTCACACAGAAGTTACCACGAAGCCAACCAACCAACCAAGAAGCCAAAGAATTTTGACGGCAGTCCTTACCGACTTTCTTGGTGGATCGTTGAACGAAGCGATCCAAAGAAGACGACGAATCGACTGCCAAAGTTCGCTCGGGGCAAACCAAAGCCCAAAGCAAAACGCTTTGGCAACCTTCACGCAGCGCGAGGCAACTTGAAATCTGACTTGACTGATCAGACAGAGGCGAACAGCGGTGGTGCCGTGCCAGTACGATCGTGCAACAAGATTCGAAACTGTTCATGGACCTCTCGCACCCATCGTCATTGGCTTAACCGAGGAAGCATCGACAAGGCAAGGTTCCCCATGCGGTTGGGCTTGAAGATGAACGTCCTTGTGGAAATGGAACTCATCAGGGCCCAGCAATGTAGGAACCGGAACTTCACCGCATCACACGATGAACAACGCTTTCTTTGCCACTGAAACTTTTGGATGTTGGATGCAATGTGCCTGGCAGCTACGTTACGAGCAAGGAATTAAAAGAAGACGTTGATGGCTTTGTTGAAGTTCATCTGCTTCAAATTGCTGTGCTGTTCCGTTTGCTGCCAGGGTGTTTACCTTTTTGAACAACAGGCAAGGTAAAGAAGCATCGGAGTGTGCATTTTACTCAGGTCCAAGCATCACATGAACAAAACCGAATTGTTGAATGCCTGCACCACTTCGGTCAGTTCGCCCTACCTTCCTCGCAGCTTCGCAAAAGCACCGCCAACGAGATGAGAAATCAATCCCGTTCCCCAGTACCGGCAAAGTGAATGTCCGAAGAGAGACTTACTTACTCAGTCTTACTGCATGGAGGTGGAGTCTTTCCATGAAAGCCTCACCTCCCTGCACTACTCAGATTTAACCGGCAATAGCTCTCTAGATAGCTAGCTAGGGCATGCTTCTGCTACCGGAAGATGGAGAAACCATGATGAGCCAGCAGCTAACCAGCATTTTGGAAGAACACTAGTTTTAAGAAGTCATATTGCGTTCAATGTGACTCTTTCCTCTTGACTGATAAATCATATTTGAAGGATCTTGGTTCTAGCGACGTGTTGCAGAACTTAGGTGAATTTTGCAAACAAATTTCGGGCACTGGTGGAGCGTACGGGAGTTTTACTTGAGTCTACGCTGTCACGAAGGCTTCGATAGCTCTTCATCTAGGCCTTCTAAGTAGGGAGCGACCGAGAAACCGAAGACTTGTGTTAATTCGCGCTTCAAGGGAAAAATGACGCTAAGTAAAAATGACGAAACTTGAAGGAAATATATCTTTACTAAATATATATTGAAGTTACTACACACGTGAACTCTCAATCTCCACTTTTCGATACTCCAGTTCAGCTGAGGTTGAAGTTGCAAATTAGCTGAGTTTCTCCTTCGTCTCACAATCTCATCTCCACAACAAACCAAAACACCAAAACACCAGCATCAACAACTACTAGCTAGAACCATCACCATGCCATCTGCACCAATCTTTACTGGAAGGGAACGCCTCATGCTTCCTGAAGACTACAGACCCGGAGACGATGTAGTCATCATCGGCCGTGGCAAGAAGGTCTTCCAACACCCTGGCAACATTCGATTCCGCGAGATTGTGGACTCCTACCTCGAAGCTTACAAGGGCGCCGCCACCAAGGGCCTCAAATCCTCCATTCTCTGGAATATTTTGACGACTATGCGCAACACCAGCAAGGATAACTTGGGCTTTGTCAAGAAGGATGCCGAAACGGGACTGTGGTGCGCCGTCGATGACGCCAATGCTCGCATCAACATTGCACAAGCTTTCCGCGATCGCCTCAGCAACTCCTACAGGTCCAGCAAGCAACACAAGAGCATCAAGCGCAAGGTCGACTTGGGACTTATCGGCAGCGACAGCAGCGAAAGGATCACTTTCGAACAAGACTTTCTCCTCGATGAAAACATCCTCGCTTCTTTGGTCAATGTCGATGCCAAGAAATTCTACCATCAAGTCGAGCCCAACAAGCGCATCTGCCTCCGAAACTCCAACTCTGTTCCTTCTTCCATGCCAAAGATCGAATCTTCCTTTGGACGCGTCCAGAGGAAAACGTCCATGAGTATGGGCCATCTTCGCGATATCTTGGACACAGCCTCCAAGGTCACTTTTTCCTCTGACGAACAAGTGCACGAACCCAAGGCACCCTTTCCCTCCATGAGCACTGACAACAAGAGCAACAGAACTCCCTGCACTGAATCTTCTCTCTCCACCCTCCTCAAGCAATTCGAAGCTTCTATCGATTGCTGCTCCGAAGAAAATCCATTTGAACCCAAGCCCATTGCTGTTGTCAAGGAACAGCCACCTGTTGTTGTTTCATCCTCCACAGACGTGGTCATGACACCCATGATGGCCATGCTCAAGAGCCAACAGCAAGATATGTTTGAACCAGACGAATCAACCTCTTCGTTCAATCTCAAGTCATTGGATCTCATGGATGAATCCGATCTTCTTTTGCAATTGGATGACTGCCTGGACTTTGTCAACGCCACCTGGAACACACAACCAGAGGCACTCTTTTCCAGTTGAGCAAGCCATCAAAAGCAACCACACTGTGAACAAACTTGACAATAGTAAGCCAGCCAAGCTCCGCTCCCCTTCCATCCATACAATTGCATAAACCGACATGGAGACCAGCCATCATTCCCAGCTAGCAGCCACAAGCACATAGAACACCAAGCGCCTGGGATGAACAACAACAGAAACAGTTTTCTTTACAAATAAAATATACCACTAAAAGTGTCCATTACAAAACTCAAAACTACAACTTGATTCTACTAGCTAGTTAGTTGCGAACAACTAAATGTACTACGGTGTCTACAAGTACTAGGAGCAGACAGCCAGCCACAACCTCACCGCAGAAGCAACATGAACCTTTGGCTCAGCCACTGCAGAAGACAGCGTATCCAGCCATCGTCCCGCATTCCTCCTCTGATAACATCTTCAGCCAGCCAAAGAGCCATGAAAGCTACGGCGGTTGGCAGACTAACTTGCTTCTCTGGTGAAGAAGCAATTCTCTGGCTTGTTCAAGCAATCAGTGCCTGCTACTTCAAAAGAGCTTTCAAAAGAATCCTCTTGAAGCAAGCACGTACCGTACCGGTATCTTGGATGCAGAAGAACAAACACACTTCGTCGTCTACTGCGCTTCTATTGCCGCAATAGAAAGCATTCTTTTGGACCACGTACCTCTTCAGAGTCTTCGAGCTGTCCTCGAGCTTCCTCGTCCATTCTTCATCCTTTCCTCACCTTGAAGCTTCGAATTAGGCAAAAGTGGGGGGTGAGCGATGCATTATTGATGAAGAAGCATGCTTCGCGCAGCTTCTGCGACAACTTGAAGTCCAGGTGCCTTCGTTCTGTACCGTAGTGTTCTCTACCAAACCTGTTTTCAGATGCTTTCAAACCTGATTCGGATTCCAAAGGACCTGTTCCGCACAGGTGGCTATTGCTGCCACCCATGTCGCATCAGATGACCGGCAGATGGCTGAGCTGGCGCTCGAAGACAGCTCAGCTGTCTGCTGACGTCGGAGTTTCTTGCTCGCCATCAAGACCCGATTTGAGACACATCTCCCAATGCCGATTTTTGAGACCGCTTAAAAAAAAATGATGTGTCAAGCGGCTGATGTTAGCGGAAGCGGCGACCCTGGCAACCCACCCCAAGGAGCATACATGATGTCTTCCTGGTGAGGATCCAAAGGAAAGTGCATCTGCGACTTTGATCTATGGCTTTATGGATCAGTTTGCTTGCTGGTTGCTGGTTGGTGCCGAGAACTGGAAAGAATGGAAGCAACCACCGCGTGTATGTACCGGTAAATCACCAACACATGGACAGACATCTGAAATGATGATCTGCTTGCATTCTAGAGGGACAGGACAAAGGATCGAAGTTGTGGCTTGGGTCGATGCTTGGTTTTGAGCACTGGTAGTTGGCTACGTCTACTATGGTACCGGTATCTAGCTAAAGCAGACGGAGAAGGATGTTACCTCATCCGGTCTCTTAATCACCTTCTTTATTACTTTGTTGGAGTCATTTGGACCATCTTTTCCAATGACACGCGACCGCCAGTGCTCTCAACGCAACGCGCAGCTCAAAGAGGAGAAAGCGCAACTTGTGCGAGGAAAGGCAGGGCTTGTTGGGATGTGAGGCAGAATGGCCGGGTACATAGAAAGCCGGGCTCGCATCACTTTGTGATCCAATCTCTTGACCATCTCCATAGAATCGCCCTCGGATACTAGCATCCAACTCCATCCTACCGATAGTAGTCTCTCCACCACCTTTCTTTTCAGGTATCATTTGTCTTGTCATGGCTCGAACTGAAAGCCCATGGATCTGTACTGTAGAATGCCACAGCCGCTCGTTTGCGCACTGAGTACAGCTTCAGTTCCGTTCTGCCGTGGGGTGGTCTTCTGGCACTCTTTCGGTACTTTTTCTGATAGGCCAGTTCAAATACAAGCATGATCAGATGATCTTCGGCATCCCTTTCGATTGCTTGCTTGGAAGCCAACAATGCAGTTGCCACTCCCTTCCTTCGATGCATGCATGTTCTCTAGCAGTTGCGACATCACGCGAAAAGATGCCTCGAAGAATCGATTGTGCCTCTTCATTGCGTCTCGAATAGGATGGAGATACCCAAACCATTTCAATTATAGATCTCTCGTGCTTGCTTCCAGGTAGCAAGATATAGAAACTTAATATACTTAATATACTTAATATACTTACCACCATCGTAGCCAGAGTTTCGGTCGATGCATATCTTGGGTCGTCCATCCATGTCAATTTTAAGGTTGCTCAAGTTTTCAGTGTCAATAAAGGGGCATGGTGGGCTAACTCTATGAATGACATTTTCTTTGGCATTTCTTTTACCCCATGGTTGTTTCCAGGCTTGACCAGGACCGTCGGACGGTTTTCGCTCAGGCATTAAAACCTGCCACGACTGGTTATCGTTTTTAAGGGCATGTTAAGGGCATGTTTATTTAAGGGCATGTTTAAGGGCATGTTGACAATTTAAGGGCATGTTTTAAGGGCATGTTTATTTAAGGGCATGTTCTTTCGTGATAGGGGCATGTTCTATGGTGTTTTAATGAAGGCTTAAGGGCATGTTTCGAGGCATTAAGGGAATGTTTTAAGGGCATGTTTATTTAAGGGAATGTTTAAGGGCATGTTGAAGATTCAAGGGCATGTTTAAGGGCATGTTTCAAACGGTCCTCAGTCGTGGAAAGTTTGAGTTTTTTTAAATCCTGAGTGATAACCGTCGGACGGTCCAGGAAAAAGTCAAACACAGTTCTACCAGTACAACCAGGTTGGTGTAGTAGAGTGACGAGAGAAGCATCATCCTTGCTTTGGTTTTGATTGCAAGGGTGCTTTGTGCTGGGGTCGCAACTCTTGCAACGAGGAAGTTCTATAAAAACGTGGAAGACTCGCTTCCACGGCCTGCGCACCTGCGAGGAAAGAAGAAACAACGGCCCAAAAAGATCCGACGCATCATTCCTTTCTTGGCAGTGCACCCGTGCTACCCACGAATTGGTCAGATCCTCTATCCTCAAAACCCAGCCAATGACCTCGAGGTAGCTACTATTTAGTCAGCCAGTCACCAGAGCAACTGTTCCTATTTTTAAAAGTACTCCAGAAGTTCCACCATGACGGCAGAAGTAGAAGAAGATCCACCCAGCAACGGGGAGACGCTGCAAGAGCCGTTGCTCTCTGCCACCAACAATGATACTATCCCAACATCCAACAATGACAATGACAATAACAACAAGAACATTACCATTTCCTGTTGTGGCAGACGCCCGCTATTGTCTGTAAATCACAATGTCTTTTTGAATTTACTCTTGTGCGTCATGTACGGGATTTCGGACAGTCTGTGGAGTGGTACCGTCATTGCCGCCTATTTGAAAAAATTGGGTCACTCCCACAACAGTTGGGTCGGCAATGTGGAAGCTGCCAATGGATTGGCCGGATTACTGAGTGCCTTGCCGGTGGGGTATTTGGCGGATAAATGTGGTCGAGATGTCGTCTTGCGATGGGGCGGAGGTTTGTTGTGTCTCACGGCCGTGTTGCATGCCGTCTTGTTGGAATGGATTGGCACGGATGATGATGAGTCCAGTCGTCCGCATGTGGAGATTTTCATGGGATGCATCATGGCATTGTGGGGGATTGGTGGTGGTATTGTCATGGGTCCTTCCCAAGCACTCTTTGCCGATTCGGTGCCCACGGGAAAACGCAGCGAATATTTCACGTATCTCTTCGTCTGCTTTGAAGTGGCGTCTTGTCTGGGACCACTCGTCTCTATTGGACTCTTTCAAAAATTAGGAGATGATTGGGATCTATACGATTTGAGAATCATTATCTATGTCGGACTTGCACTCGAAATTTTAAATGGATTTCTCATGATGTTCTTTGATGATTCCAAGGCATTGGATGAACCAGACGAACTACAAAATAATGAACAGCAACAACCTTTGCTACTAGAAGAAGAAAGAACCACGGATGAAGAACAACCCACACCACAATCTACATCTTCTTCCGACAACAACAATAATATCAACAATACACTCAAACGCCGACAAGCATGGATTCCCTACATTTTATTTGCCCATTCCCTCGTCTTTGCCTTGGGATCCGGCATGACGGTCAAATTCTTTCCACTCTTTTTCAAAGATCAAGTCGGCATGTCGCCCACACAGGTACAAATTGTATACCTCATTGTACCACTCACGCTCGCGGCATGTTCCGGATTGGGACAACAACTTGCCAAACGGTTGGGACGAGTTCCCACTGGATTGCTCTTTAAGAGCTTGGGCGTCGTGGGACTCTTTAGTATGGTTGTGTTCAAAGAATACTTGGATCAACATGCGCTCTTGCTGGTACCCATTTATGTGGCTCGCACGGCACTCATGAATGCATCGTTTCCATTGGAAGAATCCATATTGATGGATTTTGTACCCAAGCAGGAACGGGCGCGATGGAAATCGTTGGAATCCATTTCCATTTTTGGATGGTGTGGGAGTGCCGCACTCGGAGGATGGGCATCGGATCATGCCCACGATGATTATACCTATACCTTTTTGATTACGGCATGTATTCAAGTGGTGGGAATTTTCATTTGGGCCATTCTCTTGCCGTTAGTGCCAATTCACGAAGGAGAACAACAATCACAACAACAATCATCATCGTCGTATCAGGCGCCCACGACCGCCACGAATGGCGGGGCTGCCATGATGAGTATTAGTAGTACTAGTCCCCAAGACACCATGGTCGATGCATTGGCCCAACGATTTCCTACATTGACCGTCTCGGATTGTGCTCGCTTTCACGAGGAATTTGAAGGCAATGATCTCATTCAAAAGTTGCAAGAATACGTCGAATTCCGCAACATGTACAAGTTGGATGACTTGAGGGACACAGATGGCATACTCATGGATCAACCGTTGGATGACGCGGCCGATTGGAAATGGGCATCGGATTTGGCCCTGCAAGCCGCCAAAACAAGGCCGTCGCCGTTGATTCCCGGTGTCGAGGGTCAATCCATGGCGGATCGGGTCTGTAAATTGGATACGTTGCCGCAAATGTGCTTTGCACCGCGCCACGACGATGGAACGGTCGTGTGCACGGTCGATGGAGGAAATCCCATTATTACCTATCTGGCGGCACGGTTGGATCCCGATGAAGTCTCATCGGAAATTTATGCACTATGCATCACACTCTATCTGGAGCGAATCTCATATACGCATTGCTTGGACACGCAAGGTGCCGTGCTGTTGGTCGATACCCGCATTGGAACGGGATGGCCCAATAAGAGTGTCTTTCAGGCGTTTGGTGAGTTTCTTTGTTTCCTTGTGCATGGAATCTTGCTGCTCGCTACATGTCACAGTGGCGCACTATGTTGTTTTTGTCTGTGTTCACAAAACTGACCAAACTATGCATACCTCTTCTTGTGTCTTTTCTTGATGCGAAGGATTTTTGCAAGTCCTGGCGTCTACATTGTACAAGACGCATCCTGGACGAGTGGAAAAGTTTGTAATTTATCCTGTCCCTTCGGTCGGTGTCTACGCGTACAAAATGGTGAAGGGTTGGTTGCCCGGTGACGTTGCAGAGACCATCAAGATCATCAAAGGAAAAGACGGAGTCAAGGATCAACCTCCCAAAAAAGAGTTGTTACCGTATGTGACTGAAGAGGTGTTGGAGAGACTGGAGGAAACTCGCAGGGCGCATTTTGTGACATGAGAGACCACACTCTGTTAACCTGCAGCTAGCTAGAAGCTACCTTCTGGTGGCTCGACTATCTAGCTGCACTCCATAGATTCCCATCAGTAGTACAGTAGAAATGCACGGGTAAATTTTTTTAGAGCAGAAGCACCCAAATGTCAACTTGGAAACATACCGTACCGTAAATTCAGCCGCTTTTTTGCTTTGAAAGGTCTTGGCGTGTCTTTTGGATTGGTGATGGTTTTGAAGTAACATAGCACGGTACGGCAAGTTACAACTCAACCACAGACAACCGGCAGGAGGCCGATTGCCGAGCTAAGATCTAACCCATGGCCAACCCAAGCAACCACCAAGCTGTAGATGCTGAAGAATCTCCACAGCTCACAGCCCTTGTAGAGTACTGGTGACTGCACATGGTCAGCGACGGCCGCTTACTAGCTCGCACATGCGAGAGCTTGCACTACAATGGATGCTACTATGATTATGATCTACCAGTAGCTAGTACTAATACAATTACTATAAAGAATGGAGCCATGATTTTGTTTGTAAAGATTGTCTACTATGTGTTATCGTTCTATGTCTATGTTTGGTTGTTGTAATTAATATTGTAGCATAGCATCAACAATGATAGAGGTTGGTTGTCAGGTGTCACAGGTATTAACTTTGGACTTTCATCGCGTGGAGGACGTTCGGACAAGCACTCTGCAATAGAGGCTGCCTAGCACAGGAACCACAAACCTGGCTACCTTCGATGTGACCCTTCAATTGAACCAACTGTATTCATCTCCGCAAAATTGTTGTATAGCCCAGCACCCCACCAGATGCTTGCTCGTTGTGTATTGTATTCATGTGTTAGTAATCCCCGCAATCCATCATCGCCGCCCCACTTACCTGTTGTCCTAGACTGGAATGTACCTGTCAGGCTTTCTTACTCGCCGTCCAGAAAGAGTTGTTGTTGTCTGAACTGTTGTTTGCTGCTGTGTGTCCGTCACAGGTCTTGCTGTTGTCGTCTTCTTGCCCTTCGTCTTTGGCTTCTTGCCCTTCGCCTTTGGCTTTGTCGACTTCTTGCCCTTCACAGTTGGCTTTGTCGACTTCTTGGCTGCCACTCGTCTACGTTTATCATTTCTAGGTTGTTCTGCCACCCGCCGCGGCTTTGTCTTGATTTGCTCTGCAATTCTCTGAGATGCAATCGCCGCCATGCGTCTCTTTGACCGCCGCAAAGTTGATTGTGCTGTGTCCACATTGTCCTCCTCATCGACTCGGTTGTCGACCAGTGGTTCATCAGCATCAACTTGTTGTTGTTCCTCGACCTCAACCAGTGGTTCTTCAGCTACCGCTTGGCCAGTCACGAATTCGTAATCCGTATCGTCCGAGGCAACGCCTGCTTCCAATCGTAGTGTCTTGTGCCGCCGCATGAATTCCTTGACAAGGTCTCCACCATCATTCATCAGGGCTGCGAGAATGTTGTTGGGTACCACTCCAAGTAGCACACCATTCATCAATCGCGTCTCCAATACAAATGGTTGTCCATGCACACTGATCTTGAAGTGTGCCACATGCCACTTTTGAACGTATGGGACCACTGCTGTGCATGTGGGAACCACCGCTGCTTCGCATGTGATTGTGGCATGGGGTGCCATCTTGTCGTCGTCGACGGTCGAGACTGTTTCTATTGTCTCGGCGTCTTTAGTTGTTGTTGTTGGTTGTTCTACTTCTACGGGTGCTACATCTTCCATGCAGACTTCCTTGACCTTGCGATAGACAAATCGTCGGTTGGCAATCTGTTCTCGCGTATTCAAGGTGCAAATTTCGTCGTCAGCATTGCGCTGAATTCCTCCAAGGTGCAAGTGGCACATGGCAAGTTCGAACATGTAAGTGTTCTTTTTGTTGACCATGAACCAGTGTGCGACTTGCCTGTCATTTCCTTTCTTCGCCTCGATGAAACGAACAAGTCCCTCGAGGTCTTGATGCGCGGCATCAATTTGAATGTACAGTTTGGCTTTTTGTAGGTAAGCTTTGTCGCTTTGGAACCATTGGTTGTTGGTGATCCATTTGGCCACTTGTTGGTATCCGTACTCTTGAATCAACTGCACGAGATCCAAGACGCGTTCGTGGGGTATGGGAGTGCCGACGGAAATGAATTGTTGTTGGGCTTCAAGCCAGAATTCGTGTCGGGCCTGTGGCACATGTTTCTTCATGTCTCTATAGACATCACGTTTTTCTTGTGGTTCGCTCTCGTCAGAAGAGTACCCCACTACAGTGTTGACGGGAGCAAAGGATAAACGGTTTCCATTGCTCTGTTCGGTGTCTTGACCGTAATGGGTCTTCCAGCGAGCGTTGGCTGATTGACTGGGTTGGATGCGACAGCCTTTGGGCCGGTGCTGGTTGTATTTGTCGTATCCGTAGTGACCATGCTGATCCGCAGGAACCAGGGAAAGGTCGTAGGCACCTAGGTAGCGACCGTGCTGCTGGAATTCCACATCAGGATGCGTTCCATACTTGTGCAACAGTGCCGCGGTTTCGACGAATGTCTTGTCCAACTCGTCCAGTTGGAACGTTGGGACTTCCTCTGTCACAGGAACATCCTTGTCGTTGTTGTTGTTGCCCGTCATCTCCTTGTCAACCTGGAGAACGGGGGTCTTCTTGGTGTTGCTGTTGTTGTTGTCGGTGGTCCATGACCACGTGAGCAGCTTGATGATAGAAGAAGAGAACTTCATTTTGCAATTGATAGGTATTGAATAGAAGATGGATAGAAAGGGTAATTGAAAGTAGGGGGGTTGATCTGGCCTAGGCTTATCAACAATCGCGAAAGTCTTCCTTGTTCGGTTGGGTATGCAACTCTAGCAATCCGGTTGAACAAAAAAGTGAGCTCATCATGGTGACATCCCAAATTGGGATGGCGGATTCTGCCAGATGTTCAGATGACAGATTCTGCCAGATGGAAAACAACAGGTGACGAGATGAGACTGAGCCACTGATGAGCACTGATTTCATGCTCTATACTACCCAACAACACAATTCCTGGGCCTCACAGAGCTTGGTTAGTGTAGTTGTCTGATTGCTTACTCCTTGACTTTGCTGCCGGAGCTGCATGGTGTTTGTTGGGGTGTGTGGAGGAGGCTCGTTGCTGCGGTTGCTGCGGAGCTGCGGGGACCGGAGAATTGAAGGTGAGTTTGCGATAGACACGACTAAAAGAGTTAGGGGTAATCTAACTACAGCCGTAACCCTTGGCGCCAAACGCCAAGCAACCATCAACCGTGCGTTAAGAATCCAATTCTGCTTAGACGCAAGGTTGCCGCTGAATCGTTACCGCATTAATTAAAGTGTGAATCATACGAACTTCAATTGAGCGTGTTTAAAAAATATATGATTTGGTCTAGAGATTTAACAATAGTGCTTCTTGGTGGGTTTGTACACGCTACTCTTATTAGTGCGATGCCAGCAATCGTGTAAAACAACGAGATTTAAAGATAGACGTGCCCGAGTGCCCGAGGCTCGATACCAGTGGTACCATTGTAGCTTTGTCTCCTCACAAAATGAGGGAGCTATGAGGGTTCCATGGAGACTTTGTTGTCGTGGAGTTGCTTTGTTTGATACGATCTCAGGGTCATGCAATCACTTCCTTGTGGGCCAAGCTACCTTCTCCTGAGGAGGTCCAAAGCAATGAGGATCATAAAATAGAAGCCTCTCAACAACGCAGCATCAAATCATGAAGCAACAATCTCCCTCTCTGCCTTACATTCCAGGAATGGGCTTTATCCCCGGCGGCAACAACAGGGCAAAGAAGGGATCTTTCAGTACTAGTTCTGTCATTCCTAGTCTGCCAACTCTACGATCCACCATCTCTGGAGGTAGCACTGAAAGTGGCCGTAGCCTGTCTCGCGTCAGAAGCATCCACATTGGCTGGGATGAAGAACTTTCTTCTTCTTTGAACTCCAGCATGTCGTCCTGGGGCGACGATGCAGGTTTGCCCAACCCTTGTGCTGCTGCCACTGCTATCCGGGCACCTTCGCATGTCATGGGAATTGGACATATCCCTCGGGCGACAAAGCTTTCTGCAACCAACGCAGCTCGGCGATATGCGTCCAAAGAGGTCCTCTTGGGTAGTAGTAGCCAACGATCATCCTTGCAACAATCTCGCCGTCAACGAGCTTCTTCTCTCTCGAGCTCTTTGATGGCACCGGTGCGGGAAGAACCTCAATCCAACGTTGGTGTCTTGTGCAATTAGTTCGAGCAAGGGAGGTGTCAGGGCGGTGATTAGCTAGTTATGTATTACATAATCCTATATCAAGGTACATCAATCATACCGGTAGCTAGCTAGAGTAGCTTCCACAGGCTATACAGATGCTGCCAAAGTGACGCAGCTCTTGTTTTAGAAACGTCGCCGAGGAAAAGAATCGCCGTGACTGTCGGTGTTGAGATTGGTTCCTTCCATGTTACACAGAGGAACCGGTAGCTAACCAGCACATACCTCGAGCGGTGCAGAAAACAACTAATGATGATCCATGGGAAGGATTGGGAATGATGACCTAGATTGCTGCCTGGAAACAGTAATTATGTTTCCAATGGTTACGGGTTGCCCGGACTCGGCATGTCGTGTGACGACAACTTTGGAAGAGTCCCCATTGTTTGGTGGTCTCCACCCAGTAATGGCTGGCAAACCAAGCCAGAGCCTCCATTCCATGACGAATGCCCATACCGGCCAATCCCAAGCAATGCTGAGACGATGGTTGACACGAGTACTAGGCTAGTAAGTTGTTTCGTTGTTGTACAGGATTATGCAATAGTAGAGTAGTTTCGAAAGCATGCTTGCACAATGGTCGTTGCCAATGGTTCCAAGTCATTTCGCAGTCCATTGACACGATTCCCTGGACGACATCCAGGCCTGCTTCTAGTAGCAACTAAAGACCATGTCGCTACCATCGGGTGCTACTATAAGAGTGCTTCTCAGATGTCTCCGAGTTGGGTCAGTCCGTCCAAAACCTTTTCGAGGAATGCATTTGTAGACCAGCCGCGGGAGTTGTCCTGGGAGCTGTCCTGGATACCTTCGCGTAGCCTGCTTTTGAAAATTGACACGACCATGAAGGCCATCATTGACGTGGAGTTTGAGTTGCTGACTCTTGGAACTTTGAAATCCTGCAAGGGGTGTGACCGACGGTGTTCCCAAACTATCTCTAGCTCAGTGTCACAATACAGGACTGTGGCAGGCCTGGATGGGAATAGTGCCTATATATTTTGTTGGACGCACAAAGAAAGGAACCATGGCGGCAGTTGACATCGAGACCGGGAGAACTGACACTCAAGACGACAACAAGGAAAAGTTTGTTCGGCTTCTGCCTTTGGAGAAGACTCTCGCCAAGGCTGGCAACAACATTTCTACCCTCACATGGTTCCATGGGAACTATCATCAAGCGGAGGCGCTCCTCAAGTTGAGATCGGATGAGATACTCAAAGCAAATCCTTGGCTGGGATCTAGGCTGATAACACCTTTCTTGGATTGCAAGCTAGCCTACAAGGAACAGCCCAACTTGGACAATCACTTTGAATGTCTAACCAATCTGAAGCCTCCCATCTCGCGAGATACACCGCTGGAAAAGCTTGGGCCAATCTTGTCCGATTACACGGTCAATACCAAGTTGTTTCGCAATGTCCCGCTCTGGAAGGTGATCATCATTCCATGCCACAAGAATCCCGAGGAGAAGTTTGCGGTCGTTCACTCCATGAACCATGTCATTGGCGATGGACACACGTTTTATCACATTCAGAACATGCTACTGAACTGGGACGAACCGGTGCAGCCACTGATTGTCGAGCGAATGGCCACCACGGTTGCTTCGCAAACAGAGGCAATGGGGGGCAAGAAGGAGTCCCATATCCTATCATCCATTGGCTTCCTCGTGGCCTACGTAATTGGGGTTATTCTGAGCTTCATCCTGCCGGGAAGGAAAGCCGTCTGCAAGTTGTATCTTATGGACATAGAGGCTGTCAAAATTGCAAAAGAGGAGGCGATGAACAAACCTTCAAAAGAGGAGGCCATGAACAAACCTTGTGATAGCGAGACATCTCACAGCGAGAGTTCTGATGAAGAAAGTGCTTCGAGCCCGAGTGTGCAGTTTGTCTCTACCAATGATGTCATGACAAGCAGCTTCTTTCAGGCTTGTGAAGCAAAGCACGGAATGATGGCAATGAACTTCCGAAACCGCATGGAAGGCCTTGGTGACCTCCATGCTGGAAACTATGAGAACAACATCTACTACCGACCCGAAGACTTCGCTTCTCCAGCGCTGATTCGGAAATCAGTTACACCCGAAGAGAAAGGTGGCGCAATGGTATTCCAGCGACGTGCTACACAGGATGTTCCCATAAATACTGGACTGTGTGGCTTGGCTTTTGGAACCTATGGCCTGGCAACCAATTGGGTTTCCTTTTGCAAGCCGTGTTCCATTCCCCATTGCCAAGAGGAACTTCACATGCCTCTATTTGACATGGCCCGCTTCCCCAATGTTCTTCCTCCAAATATGATCAACCAGATCGTCTTCCGAGCAGGCCCTGAACGGTTTGGTGTGCTCCTTGGTGGGACAGCCAAAACCGTGAAAAGACTAGAGACTGAGTTCCCCTTCCTCGCGGGCCCCCTTGTCTAAAAATTCCTCATAGCTCGAATCATTTCGTCCTTAGTCAAAACAGGGGACTGTTGAGTCCACACCCTCAAAAAGCCAAGTAGATTGAATAACCAAATTTTGCAGAAACCTGCCTTAGGGAACGTGAACTGTCTTTTCTTTCACTTCATTTGGACCGTTTGTGCTTCTTTTGCGACTTATTGGATTTCTTAGCCTGTTTGCGTACTCGAGCCGATTTGAAATTGCTGCCTGTTTCATTGTTGGGACTGCTACTCTTGCCATTCTTTGGGGTTGACGACTTTTTAATGGACCCAAGGACTTCGCCCAAGCGTTTCGTTGCGGTAGCTTTGGTTACGGTTGGCGTTTTGTAGTAATCTTCTGGTTCAAAGTCGTCCCATACGCTCGCGTAGTCCCACACTGCCAACTGATCCCGTCGAAAAGATTGTCGCAATTGGTCCCCGCCACTGCCAGACAACATGGATTTCTCCACATTGTTATCGTTGAGTGGCTTGGTGGCGTCGGTCGCTGGCAATAAGGGCAGCGCGACAATAATTTGGCTGTTTGAGTCCAGGACTGCCGCAATCGTGGCCGTGCAACCTTCCCACTCCGATTCTTCTGCGACAATCACAACCGACGCGCCGACAGCCAAATCGTCTTCCGAAGTGGGTCTCAGCCCACGTTCTCGCAACTTTTCCGCGACACTTTGGATTCGTTTCTTGACAACCCGTACGTGGTCCAGGGTCTCTCCAACGACTTCCAGGGGTTCGTCTGGCTGCTCTTGCAGGAGCCGCTGGTATCCCTGATTCAACCGTTCCTCCCACAAGGCAAATTGTCGTTCGTATGCCTTGGCCAATCCAATTATGGCGGATTGTTGTCGGCGCGTTTGATCTTTGATTCGCTCCGTTTCCTCCCGCAGCAGCACGACAGCATCGAGTTGCACCTCGAGGCTCGACCGAATGTCGTTGCAGTCGTCGTCGCCATTGTTCTGCTCCTCCGCCATTAGCTCCGCAGCCCGATCCAACAAAGATGCTGGCAAAGCACACTGTTGGGCAGCTTCGAGTCCATACGATTCACCGGCAATCCCGTAATTGAGTTGGTAGCTGGAACGCAACACGGCGGCACTCTCCACGTTTGTCGATTGGAGGCAATAGTTCTTGAGCCGACGGGAATGGGTGGTAGCAATCACATGACAATGCTGTCCCAGTGCCAGCAGCTGCTCCAGCAAGGCTTGCGAAATGGCACCTCCAGCGGAATCATCCGTTCCACTCCCCAACTCATCCAGTAAAATCAAGTGCCGATGATTGTTGTGTTTTTCTTTTTCTTCTTGGAGCGATTCTAGTAGTGTAGCATATCCCTTTAATCGCGACGTGAAGGTGGACTCTCCTCGTGTCAAATCTTGTCCATCTCCCACCTGCACATGAATGGTATCCACCCAGGCAACTCGCGGCGGCACGGTGGCACTTGTTGTTGGCAGGGGCAATCCAAGCCGAACCATGGCCGCTACCAATCCAAACGATTTGAGGGCGGCCGTTTTCCCACCTCCATTGGCGCCACTAATGACCAATGCCGCCGACGACAGCTTGAGATCAATGGGCACTACTCCGGCGTGATCCGCAACCAGGGGATGCACAAATTGGGGTACATCCATGATCCAATTGTTAGTATTGTCGTCATCATTCGAAAGCATAATATCCGGAATGATACCATACTGTCTGTTTTTGCTGGTGCGACTGGACAGGCCAAACGCAGCCTTGGCAAAAATGGTATCCAACTGTGCCATGGCGGTCAAGCTTTCCAGAATGGCGGGACGACATGCCAGTACGGATACCGCCAAGCTGTATTGAATCTCACGTCGAAGCTCTTCTTCTTGCTCTTCTTGGTTGTTGTTGCTATTGGTATCGCTATTCTTACACAGTGCCGGAAAGACCTTGTCATTCAAGACAAACGTAAAGGTGGAATCTCCATTGGGATCGGTCGCCGATCGAACCCGTTGGAGTTTGACGGTATTTTGCAGCTGTTCATGGGCCAATTGGAGTTCTTCTTTTCTTGTACTAGCAGAAAAGCAAGAGAAGGGAGGATGATTGTTGGTCCATTGATGTACATCAAGCAGCATTTGAATCGTCTTTTCGGCTTCCAACAGATCCTGGAGGGAAAATTCCGAAGCGTCATTGTGATGAATGAGCCAGGAATCAAAGTCATCGATATAGACACGGCTGCTTCCTCTTTTGAGCAGACCAACAGGCCCTTGATCCTCTCCATAAATGGGAGGATACGTGTCATTTCCCAAAGCCCACGTAGCTTGCTGAACGAGTTCATATTCCTGCAGAGCTTCTTCCACCGAGCCGGCAACCGAACACTGAAACCGTGGGAGACTGTGAAAGGTTGATTTTTTTGCTGACGGAGTTACCAGCACCTTCAAGGCATCTCGTCCTCGTTTGGTACCACAGTAGATGGCCACGTGGTCATTCACCAGTGTGTCCAAGTCCAATGCATCGACCAGATCAGGAGAGAAAGATGCCTTCAACTGAGTCATCAGCCTCCACTGTTCGACCCTTGAAGGAAGAGAGACTCTGCGAGGGCCATTCTGCCGAGATCCTACTGGTAAAAATGAATTGGCTGACCTGGGCAGCAAAAGGAGACAAAGGAAGACGAGTGACAGTCCTTGGTACAAAGGCAACAAACCAAGCAACCGAGGCATTGTCGCTGCCATTCCATTGCGCTCATGAACAAGAAAATGAGGCAAAAGCCACGGCTGAGCGCTTGCTTGTGGTGACGGCAAGCGAGGAGCAATGACGTGGTCAGCCAGGAAAGCTGCTTCCACACCTCATGCTACCGGTAGAGAACGAAGCTTCGAAAAAGGCAAACTTTTTCTCGAAACTCTCCCTTCAAACTTCCGAAGCTCGACTCGTCACTCTAGCTAGCTAGAGTATTCGTACGGTAGCTGGACGTCCAACATTACGCAAGCAACCTACATGAAAGCATTAGCTTCAATGCATATAGGGGTTTTTAGAGTATGGTCATAGGGAAGTTATCTACGGAAGCCGCCGAGGGGCCAGGCTTAGTAGGCAAAGAAGAGGCGGAATTTGGGACTAGGTTGGGTGAGATCAGGGGCCACATACATATTGAGGACCAACTCGGGGGCCAATGGTAGGTATCAAATCAATTGATGGCGCTATTGCACTATTCGGCTACCGGTAGCTACGGTAGTTTAGCCGGCACCCGCTGACAGTTATGATAATCATTCATAACCTGAATTCTCTCTCTTTGCGATATCTCTCTGTCAGGTAGTCTCGTATTCGTTCCAGCAATTTCTCCTCGGCAATTTCCAAGGTGGGTGTCTTGAACAATTGGTCCACACGACCTTCATACTCCATAAAGCTTTTGGTATTATGCAGCGTAGCCAGTTGTTTGTGGTTCATGAATCTCTTGATCAAATTGACAAAAAGCAGTGCTGCCATTGGAGTATGCAGCAGAAACGTCTCCTTGTAGATTGTCGGATAATAGCTCCTCAATTCGTAAAAGCATCGTTCTTCGAATGTCATGTCAAAATTTTCCGTGCTGACTCCTTCCAGTTCCACCATGGTAATGACGCCGTTTCGAATGGATTGGATATCGGATGCCATGGCACGATAATAATAGTACAGCATTGCCTGCACACACCGCAAATCGCCGTCGGTTTGCACCCGAGAGGGATGACACGCCTTGTAGTCGATGAAAAAGGAAAAGGTTTCTTCGTCCGGCATGTAGGAGACATCCAAAATGCCACCGGGCATGAGAGTCATCATCCCACGAATGGCGTTTAGGCCGTCTTCGACCGTGTCTTGGATCTTGTACAAGTCCCGAAAACACTGCAGTTTATAGGCAACATCGACGGCACGCTGTATGTTTTCCCTCTCGTTGTAGCGATCATCGTTCCAAACGGCAATGACCAAATGGACATGGTCGTAGTCCGGCAGATTGCGCATGTCCTCGGATTGTTCAATCTCGGCTTTCAAGAGCAATGCCCGATGTCGTTCCACGGAAGTCAGCGTGACAGACGAGGGAGCACCCCAAGGAAGTCTCGGCACATTATTATTGCTGGCCTCGTCGGGGAGGTGGTTCATGGCTCCCACTCTTCTACTAGATCTCCAACAGAACAAAACAACAAAATGGTACTGTTGGCTTTCTTCGTTCTTTGGTAGCACCACTGTTGTGACTGCTGACGAGGTGTTTCTAAAAAGAAAAATCAAAATCTTTTTCTATCATTCAAAGAAAAGAACAGGGCAGCATGTGTCGGATAACTGTCGGATGAGCTGTCGGATACCGTGGCCAATCCATCTGATACAGTAGATGTTGTTCTGGAGTACTAATAGTGTGAAATAAATACTAAGTAGATACCTAATAAGGAGCGAGGGGGGGCTAAGCTGGGCAGAGCAGTGGCTTTGGTGGTGGGTTGTACTGGGAGAGCAAAGAAGAGGACGGGAGGAGCAGGGCAAAACAGGGGGCTGGAGGAATGGAGGAAGTAGTGGGGAAGTAGAGAGAGAGAGAGAGAGAGAGAGAGAGAGTAACGGGGGCAAGATTAGCGGAAGAGGGCAAGTGCACCATCGGCATCCCAGAGAGAACGGCGGTAGCTCATTGTGCCAGCAAGGACACGAGAGCCACGCATGCAGAGATGGCGGGCCCGAAGAATAGCTAGGCTGAGCCGAGCATTAACATAGCCACGCACCAATCTGTAAGGGCATTCCCACTTTGCAGCAAGCAAAGAGGAAATAGGTGGCGCAAGAAAGGGGCGAACGGCAGAAATCTGATTGGCTAATGAGTGTGGAAGTGTTCCGAAGAACAATGTATATGTCAGCAATATTTAACGAAAAACATTTAAATCACTTAACACGCAGTTTAATCAGTTTACGTACTAGTGTGCTACCAAATTACGTCTTTCTTCTTTCGCGAAAACCGAAAGAAGGATTCCGTTGAAGAAGATCGACAATGACAACAACCACCGGCAACCACCGCTCGACAGTCATTATCTTGGCCAAAAAGCCACCAACAGCAGCAGCAGAGAGCATCATGGAGCCACCAACAGCAGCAGCAACAACAACACAAAATGGAGAGATGGGCTGCCAGAGTCAGAATAGGAATCCACAGCAGAAGAGAGCATTCCAACTCGCCAACAACAACAACCCAAGATCATCAAAGAGAGCGAGAGAAGAAGGAGCCCAAACAGCACTGCAAGGAGGGATAGCAGAAGTCTTTGATCCACTCAGACACTGTCAGGTCTGTAGGGCCAGACATCTTGGTTTCAGAGTCCCCAAGAGATCACACTCTGTCTTCTGTATGAAGAATACAATAACAAAAGGACAAGGACCTTTGAATGCGCTGACAATGGAGACAATCAAAGAAAGCAGAGACTCACAAGGCAATTCAGTGCTCCCCTTCCACTGAATGAGAGAGGAAGCTGGAGGCATTCCACAAGAGAAAATGGAGAAGCTTTCTTTGCTCCCAGAACAAATACAGCCAAAGCCACAGCCACAGCAAAGGAATTCAACAAAAGTACAAGGCAATGGCTACTCCAGCTGTGTTCTGCGAGAAAGTCACAGCTCTTGTAGAGGATGCCACCTTTGTGGAGAAACACAAGACCAAAATAGCACCACTGGCAATGATAGCAATGGCAGAAGCAGTGTCAGAATCCATTACCAGGTCAAAGAACCAGGACCTATTCCAGCAACACTTTGATGGACTCACCATGACAGTCCCATCCCCAAAGGAGCAATTCGAGTCTCCTCACTACCACTCTTTGTTGGGCAGACTGCTTCTAGTGGCTGGAATCGATGGCTGATACTGTACCTTGTCCCGATGGAAGATGCTCTGGCCAACTCAAGAATCATAGAACACAATGGTCCTGGAGTAAGACTCTCTTTCCAATCTTTGGCATTGCTGGCCTCCATCTTGGTGTATGGTCATGTCCATGGTCTGCAGCTGCTGCAAGAGAAGATTTGATGCAACAATCTGAAGTACTGGTGTCAATCCCAGAGCATGTTCCTTGTGTATCCAGTAGAGCCAAAGTATTCCTTTCCCAAGCAGACTATCACTTGGAGAGAAGTGCAACAGAAGTGTTCGACACTATAATGGTTACCTATGGCAATGGAGACCTCTGCAGCCGCCTAATCTACAATGCAATCAACAGAGAGTATATCAGAGCCATGATGTCCTACTATTCTTACTGGCAAGGTAATGAAAGGAACCTTCTCCCTTCCTTCCAAAGGATGGAACTTACATCAGACATTCCTCCTCTTGGTGACACATCCGTGACTTCTATGATAGGGCTGCTGCATCCAACAGAAACCATGGAGGATCAGTGACAATGCCAGGCACACCAGAGAGATCCAGAGTGTAGCTTGCAGCAAGGGTATCTTCTGTCAAGACCACACTTTCCAGCCAGTCAAGAACTACATGAAGGAGAGAGGTTGGAGCGTGGCGTTTGGGATGCTGCCACTGACACTGGAGAGATAGCTTCTGCTGTGCTGGTTCCCACAACCAAGACCATCCACTTCTCCCATGCAGCAATGCAGCTAGCAAGGAGATGCCACTTCAATCCAGCTGCCATGTACAGTGACACCTGGCCCACAAGGATGACTATTGGGAGCAGCTGTTTCCAGGTATGAGGGAAGACTGGCCTGTTTCATTATGAGAAGAGGATACTGTCAACTTTGAGGAAGGGACACATTGATCACTTCAAGCAATGCAGACCTTTGGACTGCCTGTATGAGTACTTCCTGGGACTATGAGAAGCTTCTCCATGCTCTCAAACATGGTCTACTATCAGCTGATGGCAAACACTATTCCATGGTGGAGATCTCAGACATGCAATCATCCAAGGTCTTCCGTGACAGATACTCCAAGTACTTAAGGAAGAAGATGAGAGAACCAGAAACAATGAGACAGAGGATTCAACAGTGGTTCTGCAGGTACAAGGTCAATGCGAGTGAGGGCAGCCAACCAGGCCAAGGAAGGCTCGGATCCAGTCAAGAACTTTACCTTGTTCACTCCAGACACCAAACCAGCAGTAGACAACTGCATTGAGAAAGCCATCCACTTGGCTGATCCACTACCAATGGAGCAAATGTATGACACAATCCAAGCCATCTCCCAACTCCAAGCACAAGCTTCCAGAGTACCTATCAGGAGAGGAGAGTCAAAGTTAGAGGCTTTCCATGACAAGTTTGCTCACTTTGGCAATGGTGGAATGAGAAGAACTCTTGCTGATGCACTCAATCTTGCTGGCACTGCTAGATACAACCTCAAGATTCGCCACAGAGAGCCTTCCTGTCAAGAATCAGCAGGCAGAAAGGAAGTCAATTCCAGCTGGTGGGAGAAGGTTGTTCCTTACTGGAACCATTCAGAGTTGGCTTACCTCAATGCCATGACAGAGGCTGTTGGTCTGGATGCACCATTTCAAATGCAGAACCACTGCCAGAGGATAATGGAGAAAGATTCTTTTCAGAGTACATTGTTGGATTCAAACCTCACAGGCAGAAGTACTCACCAAATGATTGTTGCTGTGTACATTGTGCACCAGTCCAGTTGAAGCTTCACAACACAACCGTTCCACACCTCAACCACAACAAGTTCCACAACCACAACCACAACCGGTTCACAGCTCCAACCTCCACCACCCAATCCACCTCCACAAGCAGCTCCTCTGTAGCACAAACAAGAAATTCTTACATTGGTAACCTGATTCTCTATCAGCAACACACCAGATTCAAATGATCAACTTGCCATGCATGCAGCAATTCCAACCAATACTGCCAGCTCCTTTCCAGCCACGTCCTCCACCAAATGGCTGCTGTCAGAGATACTGCCAATGGTTGACTCACAGGAGAGGAAGACCACCTCATGATTCTAATTGCCAATCAAGATTGTCTGGGTATGGGTAGCAACAAACAATCAATATTTAGATAAGCCAAATTCATTTCTAATTTAGCCAGTAACTTACATAAAATTTCCACAATGTACAGCATGGTGGTTGCAAGAATCCAAGGTTGTCAGGTCTTCAATGCAATCATCAACAAAACTCTGACTCATGGAAACCAAAACCTGAAAGGAAAATTTGTTGTTGTAGTCATACCAGTGGCAACAATACCATGCCAAGCATCCATCAATATCTGTCCTTCATTGGAGTAAAGTCATAGCTGCTATCCATAATCATTTCCCTCACTAACCCATAGATGCACTCAATGAAGATGTCCTTCCTTTCACAGGGCTGTTCTCCTCCAACATTTCATAAAGGGTGGAGAGAACAGTACTGTACCATTTTGGCTCTTCTGAAGTCCCAATTCATACATGTAGTCCATGATGCCTGTCATATCAGGAGGAAGAGGCTTGCATCCTCCTTGCGAGATCATCTTCTCAACAATGTGCCATGCAAATTCCATCGGGCGAGCACAATGAAATTGGTTGTTGGCGAATCTCGCATCTGCATACTGTCCTTCAAAAATCACATACTTGCAGGTGATTCCATGCCGTGTTGCCCTCAGCTCATTCAATGGGTAGCTGTTTACACTAAGTAGCCACTTCGAGAAGGAAGGACTTGTAGCGATCCTCATTGTCAGTAGAGGAAGGGTCGGTAGTGGTATCGGTAGAGGAAGGAGCGTCCGTAGAGGAAGGAGCGTCCGCAGAGGAAGTAGGAGTAGTAGTGGTAGTGGTTGTTGTTGTTGCCAAGAGTCTTGCCCCTACCCACGTAGTCGCTGACTTCAAGACAAAATAGTCGGTATCGGTAGAGGAAGGATCGTCCGTAGAGGAGTGTCGGTAGAGGAAGGAGTCACGGTGTCGGTAGAGGAATCTGGTGAGGATAAAACAATCAGTAGAGAGACAAGATAATAGTATTAGCTATCATTATCACAAGCAACAACAACAACAACAACAACAACAACAACAACAGCAGCAGCATTGACTTCTTACCAGCAGCAGTAGTGGTAGTCGGTCGGTAGTGGTAGTCGGTTGGTAGTGGTATCGGTAGAGGGTTGCTGCGAGTTTCGGTCGATTTTCGAAAATAATGGGAAGGTCTGGTGCGAGCGAAGGAAGGGAAAAATCAAAAAAAGATCCACCGAGCAAGTCAGCCAGGTATCCGTTTGGCCGATTTGAATGGACTTCAACGAACAACGAACCTCTCCAGTGACGTATTTGCTGACACTTACACTGTTCTTCGGACGTGTCGGAGTGGGGAGATGTCCATTTTATATAGAGTAATGATTCGGTCATTGCCAAATCCCCCTTCAACCATAAGTATTTCACGTCATTCGATGACTGGATCTTTGCCCTGCAGGCTCGTGAATCGGAATTGGGAATCCAAAGGTTAACCCTCTCCCTCTTCTTCTTCTTTTTCCCTCCCCCACGCTGGTGCCGAACCCCCCCATAATCTCACGTTTGGCCCCAAGGAGACCATCAGCAAAGATGAGAGTGAATAGTGGAGTAGTAGGAGGGCACACAGGAGCGCCGTGCGGAGTACTATTAATAGCTAGTAGTGCGGAGGCCGTCTGGACCTATGAGCTCTAACCCTAGTGAGTCAACTCATTTTAATTAAATACAGAGACAAACACGTCATATGCGGCACCAATCAAAAGTCCGAAGAATTTCAGAGCCGGCAAGTCTTGTGGTGGGTCCCCAATACGATTGGATTCAAGCTGTTGTTGACAACGGTCAAAGAAGAGCACTATCAAAAAGACCTCAACGACGCCTGTGTTCTATTGAGCTACCGTCGCTACAGTCCCATATTAGTCTCCATCGGAACGAGCCGCCCTACCTGCTAGAGTTCTTGAGGCACCTACCGATATTGCTAGCTACTAGAGCCTTTCCTATCATTGTAGTATATTTTTGGTTGAACAAAGAGGAAGAATGGCAGATCCCTTAACCGATATCCCCGTGTCAACAGAACCCACGATGAGCAGCCACCCCGAAGACACGACCCAGCAACCAGCGACCACAGAAGAGACGAACCTAGTAGACGACGATGAGCGTTCGGTGGAATCGGCTAGACTACGGGATTCTTTTATTCGATTGACTACCCAAGCTACCCCTTCGACGACGAATGACGAAGGCTACCAGCAAATTCACCCAACGGATGCCCCCTCCAATGGGACCCCCTTTTACCGTCGTTATCTCACGTGGAATACGACAAACAACAACAACGACAGCAACAACGACAACAACAACGACAATATTACCATGGACACCATGCCTCCCCCAACGGACCTTCCTCCCTCTTTGGCGCAAGCTCCTACCACTCCAGCTGTGCTCACCATGTTTCTACCCTTGGCGTGCATTGTGACACACATTGTATTTGCCTACGGACAATGGGCTCCCATGTGGCGATTATCCTTGTCGGCCGAAGACATTGATATCACGGCACAAGCTCAAACGACCGTTACAAAAAAAATATTCAATCAACTTGGCCTCGACAACACTCCGGGGTTTAGCCATGACGGTGACACGTTGAATTATCGAGTCGAACAGGAACACACGGTCCAAACATTCACCTATGGCTTTGCGGTGGAAGAATTGTGGCATGCCTATGGAATGCCGGGAGTCTTTTTGCCACGGTGTGCCGCCATTCTACTCGTGGTGTTTTCCGGCATTTGGCCGCATCTCAAACTCATTCTGTTGCAATGGTCGTGGTCCTCGCGACGCTTGTCGTTGAAACCCAATCGACGCACACGTACCCTTGGATGGTTGGCTCTCTTGGGCAAGTGGTCCTTGGCCGATGTGCTCACCGTCTGTGTCATGGTGGGAGTCCTCAATTTGGAATGGATCATTGATCCACCCACCATGAAGGACGGAATTGCCAATCATTTGTCCATGTTGATTGATTTGACCCAACAAGTCTGGGATGATGGACAAATCTGTTCCTCCGTATTGTCCTTTGACGCCTCAGATTGTGGGTCCGGAGACTTGAGTATCAAAGAACATTTGGAATGCTTTGCCTGCAAAAGGTTTGTCTGGGCGGCCTTTCACGAACCGGATGCGGTGGAAAAGCAAGGAAAAGCCATCGTCAAGGGAATCGACATGAGTGGACACGGAACCGTACGATTGTCAGTTGTGGGAATGGAAGGGATCTATGCCTTTTGCATTGCCGTCATTTTGTCGGTTCTGCTGAGTGTCATCGTTGACTGGTACAATTACCAGTACGTTGCTTTGCTGCGCGAAAAAATTACCGCGCGGCGACGGGGGGAGGATACGGATTTGACACTCTCCGTGACGACAAATCCAGAGGAAGCAGCAGCACCGTTAGAGTCCCTCTTGTTGGCGGGAGACACCACTTCCGAAGCTTCGGAGCCCTTGCTCGAAAACAGCATTAGCGGTACAGCACCCTTTGAACCACTCGAAATCATGGAAGACGATGCTTCCGTCTTGGATAATTGGGTCCACCGCACCACTTCGGCACCGGCCTACACATGCCTCCATTGTCATCACATCCTACCCATGGTTACGCTGGTGTTGGTTGGAATGGCCCTTTACACACCCTCCATGGAACGAAATGTCGGTGGCGCCATTCCCAAGAATCTCAAGGAGGTGCTGGGGCTTGATCTTAATCTCAAATATTCCTTGGCGTCACTCCAAGACTTGACCGGAGCTGCCGGTGGTATGGATCTCTTGTTGATGGGTACATTTGCCCTCTTTATTGTCTTGGGGCCACTGTTGCGAGCTATTCTGGTTGTGTTGGTGGCCATGACGGCCAAGACAACAGCATCACCACGAACACAGCGCATTCGATCGTTGCTGGTCCATGTCAGCAACTTTTTGGCCGCCTTTTGTGCATGGGAAGTTTTCTTCGCGGCAATGTTCATGGTGGAATTAATCATGCCTAGTGCCACCAGCACTATTTTGGACACACCCGCCTGTAAAATTCTATCGGGAGACGGGTCCTCGTGCCTCCAAGTATCCTACGAACGCATTCCTACGACCTTTGCCATTTTGATCCTGGGATGGTGCCTCGTGGGTGGACTCTCGATTCACATTTCCATGGAAGATAGCAAAGAGCGAATGATGGAACGACACAATGGACAAGTTGACAGCCTCGAGGCCTATCGACCCTTGCCCGATTTCGATGCCGGTTTGCCGCCTACAGAAATTCACGCCGAAAACAGTCCTCCCTTGGCATTTGGGGATGACAACAACAGCAACACCAATGGTGGGGCGTCGATGATGGAAGAACAGCTCGTGTAGCCTGTCTTCCCGGTTATGATGGGGCCAAAGCCACTTTCGGTGGTGGAGGTGTTAAATTCTCCTCACTCTTTTCCAACCTTCCGAATCATGTCTTGCATAACAACATCTATTTCAAGAGTAAACCTAACCTGCTTGTACTAAAGTTAAAAGAGAACTTTGTCTTTTTAAAGTTTGTTCATCGTTGCAAAGATGGATGCAATCTTATCCGAGCTGATGCAACAACAACAACAGTCTCATCCCTGGAACCTTGGCAACAACCTTCTTGGGCCTTGTGGCCCGCAAGGCTTGTTGGGCAACTGATCATACCAACTATTGCAACCATGGCATTTGTACAGTGCAAAATCCTCTGGAACACCCTTCAATGACCACACACCCAGAAAGTCAAGCATGTAACCATTGGAAAGTGGCATCAAGTTGCATTCATCAAGATCAGCAGCCTCTTTCCCCAAGTAAACGCATCCAGGGGCAGCTGCGGCCGCAACACGAGAGGCCCTGTTGACCACTTTCCCAAAATAGTCTGCTCGTCCTGTGGTGGGGTGAGGACCCATGGATGTGAATTCACCTTCACAGACTCCCACCTTCACAAGACCAGCAAGGGACAACTCCAGAATAGTATGATTCTCCAGGTACTGCTGAATGGCCAATCCAAATCGAAGAGCATCCGCAACATCCCCAAAGGCAAGCATGAAATCCTTGCATTGGTAGCCCTTCTGCAGGACTTGAAACTCATGAAGGAGAGTGCCAATTTGCTTTGAGAGGGCTGCTAGCAACACAGTTGGGTCTGCAACCAATTTCTCTGCCTCGGCAGTGTAGACAAACAGCATGGCAACAGTATTGTTGGCAAAGGGAGCATCATGGAATGATGCACTCAGGCATTTCTTGGTCATGACAGGTGGGAAAGTGCGCCCTCTCTGGGCGGCAGCCTCCTGGTCTGTGTTTGTATGCATAGGACTGACACGGCGGCTCAGAAGATAGTCATGAGCAAGGGAACTTGGCACAAGCTGCAGCACATTCTTGGCAATGATACCATCATACATATTGCTGCTGTGAGTAAGCATTACATGATTGCCAAGATCAACAACCTGTGGTGAACCAAGACTGCTGTCAGCCAAGTGGGAGGCCACGTTCCAGACATCAGAAGTTACTAGAATCTGCCCCCCATGGCTCATGCATTCCAAGCTCTTTGCAATGTAGTGAGTTTCCCCTCCATATGCTACTCTTCCTGATAGGTCGCTTGTGACCGGCACAACATCTCCAGCATGAATGGCCATTCGAACCCTCAGCCCACGGAAGCAACCTACTGCATCCTCAGAGGCATCAGGAAGTGCAAGAATGTGTTCATCCCAAGGGGCATGATACAGTGCCTCTTGAACTCTCAAACAGAACTGAACAGCATCCACAACATCAACAAAGGCGACATGGAAGGCATCTCCTTCGTTGCTTACTTCATAGCCAGAGTAGGAAGCAATGTGTTGTCGTATAATTTGATTGTGCAGTGACAGAGCTTTGTTCATGGCTTCTGGGTTTGCTTCCCACAGATCAGTGGACCCTTGTACATCAGTGAACACCAAGGCCGCATAGTCTTCTGGACGGTTGGCTCGGAGTCTCTGGCTATTGTTGATGAGCAGGCTCCTTTCTCTTTCAAGACGATGCATGTCCCGATTCAGAGACCAAGTTTCAAATTGCTGTGCAATCAGCTGTGCCAACTGCTCTTGCTGGATCTCCTGAGCCTTCCCAAAGTCAGACCTGGCCTCCTTACAAACAAAGCACAAAGCCCCCACAGCCATGCCCTGAATGACAATGGGAGAGGCACTACAGAATCCAAGGTCAAAGGTCTTCTGGTAGAGTGCAAAGCTTTGGTCTTTTGACACATCATGGACCACAAATGATTGCCCTTGGGGACTGGCAACAGCATAATTGCAGAACGCTGTGGAGCGGTTGCCTCTCCCCAGAAAAGGGCTGCCATCAGGCATCAACTTGACTATATCAAGATGATCCAATAGTGTCCCCAGCCTCCCCAGGTCTTTGGGCTGATTATCTTTGGCACACAGAGTTGGAAACATCATATGTCGATGGCAATGATCAAGTAGGTTGACAAAGATATAGTCTGCACCCAAAAGAAGCCCAGCCATGTTGACAAGAGCTAAAATGGTCTTGGCTTCCTCTGAGGATGGGTCCATATCAAGTATCCCCAAAGAATTCAAAAGGGCCACACGCTCCATGTCATGTTTGCCCACTGGGGTCACATCAATCGGGAACTGTTTGCGACGGGATACAGCTTACAATTCAGCTTTACAGCTTTACAATTAGCAGGCTTATTCTAGCTTAATAATCAATAACTGCTCACTTATTTGGAAATACAAACTTTACATCTCTTAGATCCCTAGATTAATCAATGCACAATGGTATTGTCGCATGGTAGCATGCGAGGTTATGAGATGTTACTCATTCTATTTCTTATATGTCTATCCCCTATGGTTGTCAATGGAATGTGCTACTCTTTGATGCAGATTGCTCCTGATGAGTTTCCTCTTGCATTCTTCATCGGTATCTCTTCCCTTTATTGCAACTCACCTCCCTTGGATTCGCTCGAAAGCAATCCCCTTGTCCTTATTGACGATCGTAATCTCAATGAGGATCATCCTATTATCTTGGATTCGCTCAAAAGCAATCCCCTTGTTCTTAATCCTATTGACGATCGTAATCTCAATGAGGATCCTATTATCTCGATCGCTGCAGGAGCCACTACTGGTACTGCTACGGTTACTACTACTGTTATCTCTATCAGCACCGGTAAAGTCCGGCCATTGTCAATGCCTCCCATGCTCAGCTTCAGCATGGATCGATCGATCGGCCGAGTTAACAAAATTCATCGAAAAATGAGGCTTGACTGCATATATAAGGCTCGGCTTGTGTGTCAGGCATTGAGTCATGCTTCGAGAGCTATTTCCCTCTCTATTATCGGTTCGAACTGCCTGAGTCATGCATGGCTTATGTCTTCGAAGAAAACTCCTCACTTTTTCATCCAAACGTGAAGAACAACTGCACGGAGCGATCGATCGCTCGTGATGTTGTTGTTTGTGGCTGTTGGTCTTACCCAGGACCGGCATTGGTCGTTTGCAACAACAACAACAACAACTGCAGCCAGTTCAACGAGAATCGCTTGCAGTTGTCAGCACCGATTCGCCGAACTTCATTCAAACGACGATTCGCTAGCTCGCTGTTTGAAGGAGAAGGATTCAAACGACGCGAAGAACAAGGATTCAAACGACACGAAGAACATAAACAATAAAGCTCATAAACTCCAGCTTCGATTGACTCGATTGACTGGATTACATCCACCACCACGCTCTTGTTACCGCTCCTCCTCTTGTTGCCGCAGCACTGTTGTTGATTTTTACTGCCTCCTATTCATCAGCTATATGGACCTTGACGACGCTTCCTCTGCTCAGCATCTTCATCTTCAACAGCAGCACCAGCACAGCACCAGCACCAGCATCCTTGTTCAGTCCACAAGGTTCAGACAAGCCTTCTTTTGAATCTGATCCAATCACCCACCATCTGATCCTCCAACATGACTGCAGCACCATTACCGCAGTTCAATTCCAGGAGCTCCTCCAGCACATTGGGAAAACCAAAGAAAAGACCAGCTTACAGAAGCCCTCGGCTTGGAGGTATCAACCACACTGGAGCCTGGACAGGATCCGCTCAGATGGACTGGGAAAGGAACCTCAAAGACCCTATGCCTCAGGGGTTTTATGGAGACACCATCTAAAACATCACACTACATCCAGCCCATTGAATTGGCATGCAAGAAAGGACTGAAGGTTCCCCCAGTCTCCTATTCTCGACTTTACTGAGTCAAATGCCTCTGGGTCCATGTTTTAGCCTCTCTCATCGCCTTTGAAAGTATGATGACTGAACATGGATGGAAGGGGTCTTCAGCTTGTTGTTGGAGATCTCAATACCAACACTATTAATACAATCAACATGTTCACTGCTCCTGGACAGGTCTCAGAGTCTATGATGGAAAAATGGCATCAGGACCTCACAGTCAATGGGGTCGGACTCATCGATGCTGGAACTCTGAAGCAACATCCTGTTTGCCAGTATGATTTGACAAACCTTGCCTGGTCAGGAAAGGCTGTTCTAAATTCTTGCACTGATGCTCTCCAGGAAGAACTCAAATCATATGTTCCTCGAGCAAACACAATGGGCCCCAACTTCTCTTGGCTCTTCTGCAGAAAATATACAGACCTTCTCTCAGTAAGATTGAAACCCTCAAAGCCAAGCTACTTCACTTGGACATCACCAAGTTCCCTGGGGAAATGTTTCCATGTATGTTGTCGATGCAAGCAAGATCATCAAAGAGATTCGATTGAACTTCATGTCCAGTGATCCCATGCCTGAACTAACCAGCACATCCCTGAGAGGTCTCCTTGGCTGTGGTTGTCCATACTTTCGATCCAAAGTCCATGAGCTTGTTGTCAAGAGTGACATCAACGGATTTGATAGCAACTATGGAACAAACAATTGGAAGCACTCGACACTTTGAATGACTTGGATGCCCTCTATCGGGTCTCATCAACCAGAAAACTTATGAGCCTGCCCAACATCTTGGATCCAAGGGATCCCAGGCCAAAGCCTTCCAGGCAGCAATTGACAAAGCAGTTGAGGCAAAAGTTGGGAGTCTCACCAGGATCGAAACAGTGGATCAGCCAGTGGCGGTACCCGTCCTCGTGGAGGCGCCTGCTTTGATTGTGAGCTACTGATCATCATAGAAACGATCCAGCATGTCCCAAGCGAGGTGCTCCAAGGACAATGGTCTGAGTGCTGAAACCAATCCAAACTCACAACTCTTATCAAAGACACAGCTTGCTTCCATGCCTCCAAGGAGAACATTCCCGATGATGCCCAACACACCATTTCTGTTTGATGGGAAGGTAGTTGCTAAATACTGTCGCAACTGTGTGGAAGGTTCTCCAAAGGCACCAGTGCTCATTTCACCAGTGAACATCGTGGTTCCGCAAGTTTCCTTACAAGCACCCCTCTTCTGTGGCCAATTCTACTCCACCACAGCTGTCCAGCTGCTCCAGCTTCTGCTCCAATCACTG